CCTTTTTGTCCACAACCGTTTATGGTAAATACAACAATTGAAGACCAATAGTGTAACAAATGTTTTGACCTCACTTTGCAAGTTGCAATCCATTCACGCTAACTATCGCGGATATAAAATTGGAAACAATACTTACTAGTTAAAGATCCACGTAACGTTACAAAAAACTGTAACTACGTATTGGAAACTGGAAAAAAATACCTTGCGGGACTTTTATGAAAAATCGTCAATATGAATTTACAAAATATAATCAACAACAGTGTTCTGAGCCTCACAAAAATTAGAGAGGCTAGACCAGGATTCGAACACTACAGTAGAGAAATCGTTTCGGGGTGAGAAACTGTGCCGTAACCAACACTGGTTCAGTTTATTATACTATCGCTCTAACCAACCAAGCTATCTTGACAACGGAAATATCTTGGCCAAACTTTGCTTCAGTTATATCAAAAACGCAATTAAGGGGAGGTCACTGTACGAAAACCAGCCCAAAGTGCATTGCGACAGGGATCCTTAAACAACCCTGTCACCACTATCCAATTAATACAAGTTAACTTGTAATTATACCAAGTATTTCTATAACTGTAGCTCGATCAGTATTGGAGGTTTGACAACACTTATCTATCTCCGTCGTTTTTGCGAGCAGTACCAATATTCATTATAACAAAATTGTTCAGAATTGTCCGTCATATCCAAAACAGCCATGTGTCGTTTACATAACACTCGATTTAACACAACATCCCATGCACCATCTTCCCAACACTAACGTTTCTGTCCCAGTATACAGCTATACATACTCTTTTACAGGTAACACTGGCATCTGTATACAGTTATACATACTCCTTTACAGGTATCACTGGCATCTGTATACAGCACATGCTAACAATGGAACAGACGTAACACTTTTCTTAAATGGTCGTTGACACTCTGGCGTCCATCTGAATCTCGCATACTTCTTGATGATTCCGGAAGTGGCTCGACAAAACTTCGAAGATTTGGGTATATATCTCCTTTAACAGCTACGCATTCCGTCAAACCCTTGAAATTCACGCACGTTAGCTGGTGCTATCAGAAAACGAAAGGCCTCCACTTCTTTTTGGAATCAGTTTTAACTCCATTTTTACTTTAAAAAATACCTATCTTCAGCTTCAACCTGTTTTCCGATGCTCTCAAGCTCAAACTTAATATGTCGTATATGTTGTTTTTGTTGTATCTTGGAGGATTTAGCAAAGTGTAAATGTTCCTGTACGACAATCTGCTAATGCATAAAATCAGTTCAGACGGCAACGGGCATTTAAAAAAAATAACAGACATTCCATCGAATTAAAACCAGCATCTGTGACAAGTAAATGCTGTCTTGTGTTTATGTTTTTTTTAATTTTGCCCGTTAATATCATTCTTTGAATGTAGTGTAGTAAAGTATTTCGCGTTCTCAAGCTTTGTCAATAAATAGTCAGTCAATACAAGGTACTACTGGTGTTGGTATTGGCGTTTTACAGTGATTCCTGAAGTCTATTTGTAAGTAATAAGTAATATATTATTTTACTGTCATCGTTTTTGTCTACTTCTGCCAGCAGACACGATTTATTTTGTACAAAAAGCTCAGTTCAGCCAAATGGCTGAAAATTCCAAATGTCTTATATCCTACGTGGTCGATCGAAAGATGTCTTGGGTTTGTTTGTCATTTTCTTAGCCTTTGGTATTTGTTCGAAACGGTATGCAAATATCTCACTTCCTTAGGTCAAATCATTCCCATTATTTTTTTCTTAAATTTATTGCTATTTTGACTGCTTGTTTTAGTGTTTTTGGTCTGAACACGGTCGTCATATGACCTCAGCTTTTGCGAAAAGCTTAAACATACAAACATATCTTAAGTTTAGCAAACGATAAATCACGACATAATATGCCCTAAAAACACTGTTGCTGTTCTGTAATTCTCTACCTTTTCAAAATGTGTGCGTAAGCGTATTTTGCCACTTGAAGAAATAGCTATTTATATATTAATTCACAACTTTTTTTCTGAACTAAAGCCATGAGAGAAGCACAAAAGTGTGCACGTGATCAACAACAGTAATGGCTAGCTGTAAACCAGGAGATTTAGAAATTCGAAATTTTCGTCAAATACGCTTAATACCTCTTCAAAAGAGCCCAAGGTATAAGCACAAGAGGAATACCAGTGACCTCTTCATCAAAACATAAATACGCTGCGGGTTGTGCTATATCGGCAGGGTCTGAAGCAATTCAAAGCATCTGACCGTCTTCGTTGCTCAACGTTCAAGTTCATAGTGAAATGCTTAGGTCACCTGAAGATATTGCGGAAGCAGTCTGAACATGTTTTTCGAAACGTATATAACACCGATGGAACGGACATGATAAATTGTGAAATTATGAATTATCCTATCTCTATTTTGGATACTAAGGAATCCGATAGAAAAACCGTGTTCGATGAAATTGAATGTGCCCCAATGAATATTAAGTTTAAAAGACACCAGGGACTGATGGTATTCGCAATGAAGATCTACGGTATGGAGGACGGACCTTATTATTATACTTACATTTTCCATCAAATGTATCAAACGCGTGTACTTTGAAAAATTGCATAATTTTACCTATCTCTTGGAGCTCTTGGAGTTAAATGGCTGATATGTAAGTGTATTCGCGATCCTTATACATACATGATGCGTACTGAGATGTGGCAGGGCATGACGTCGCTTTTGATTTCTGAGGGATCAGGGGTTCGGTAAGGAGTACTATCCGCATTCCTACACCCAACATTCATCGATGCGTTTCTTTGCAGTTAAGAGCAAGCTAACTTGGTGCGAAAGTCCACTGCGTGATAACCAGGCATCCGACATTGGCGATGACATATCCTTAATCCTAACGTCTCAGCTTTTACTTCAAAAGCTTCTGGAGACCTCATCAAGTCAATAAAAGAAAATCATTTTACCATCAATTCTATGGATGTGAGCACTGGGTACAACTCGGCACTAGCGACCTTTTGAAACTACTTAGTTATTTTCAACAATACACTGCTAAGATCCTTCTTGGAGTAGATCATCATGCCAGGTCAGATACCATTGAACATATGCTTGGTGTGATTTCAATCTCTGTTGAAATTGACAAGATGAGGTTATTATTTTCTGCAAAGGCTTGGTTCATTCGATCAATCGTTCTAAGTAAAGCAGAGAAAATTCCTTCCTTAACTTGCATACGCTAGAGGTACTCGTGAAAGAGGTCCTATATTCCGGATATCTCAAAGTGTTAGTGGAAGATAATAGTAAAAGCTGTTATTGAGCCTACTAAATACTTAGCCTTAAAATCTCTACTGGAAAATGGTCGTGATTTTGACATATTTAGGAATGATCATTCCTTCTACAAGCAGCACATAATGTTGTAATCAGCAAAATCCATCACAGATATTAACAATTAAATCTTCGGGCAGAATATTGGCAAGGCCATCGGCATCTGACCAGAACATGTGTTATCTGTGTTCCCAGCCTTTCTGTGACGCCATCTCCCGCTACAGCTGCACTTTCGAGAGCATTAGTGAACTCCATGTTCCTTTTCTACGTCTGATTCTTTCTCACGTGGAACTTTGTTCCCAAGTTTGGATTGAATGTGTTCAGTTCCACAGTTCCATTGACCAGCAGCATGTAGTGCGATTCCTTTGTCTACACCTATTAGAACTCAGAATGTGTTTCTCATCAATGCAGCCATCTTCGTCGTACAGGACGCATTGCGCGAATTCTTGAGAGGTATTGTTTTATGAATACCATGATTTTCTCTCGCGATTGCGGGGACAGTCATTTAGCTGTACTCCCCTGCGTCGGTTTTGTCTTCTTTGTGACATCCATTGCTACTCTTTGTACAACAAAATCTTCTTTTATGAAGCTTGATGATGATATGAGAATATGTTGTCAGCAAAAAACGTTCTTAGGACTAACGTGGTTCAACTTCAAACTGTTTAACAATTGTGTACACGTCTCATGTAGTGATTGCTACCTACGTATGCAATTGGAGTAGGAAATCCAGCAAGAAATTCGAAATAAAATATCAATAACAATCGTTTCTTTAAACAACCCAACATTTTTAATGATAGTTGGCTAGGAAATGAACGCACACTTTGAGTTCATTTGACCAAGGAATGTTCCATTCCAATTAAATACCCTCAGCCTTTCTGGAATAGAAGTCTTTCAAAGTAAACATTAAAGACGGACGAACATTATGCCATTATCTAAAAGTTACTAGTTATGAAGTAGGCTTAAACTTGGGTACTAATTATAATTAGACATATTGTTACCTGACTAAGATTATCCCTCACATATTTCCATAAACTTGGTAAAAAATATTTTAGACACAATCAAGAAAGATAGGTATGTTTCCATATATCACATCTGAATATTCATTTTCACTTACATTACAAATACATTATATTCAGGTTTACTTTTCTTAAATATGATCATGAAGTTCCACATCATTTCAAGTATAAAAGTTGTTTAAGAATCGACCGAAAACGAAAAGCAACGTATGAATGGGGGATGTAAAAAGGTAGAATCTTGGAATCAATTCAATAGAATCTTTCACACATGTGATATCGACAGATGCATTTGAATCCCGAGAGTGTAGCATCTGGCTTTCCCGAAAGGCCACTCCACTCAAGTCACATGCTTAACACCAAGGCAAAAACGAGGTATTGCCGATTAAGGAACATTTTGTATTTGGAAGTGAATAAATGGTTACAAGGGAGAGAAAATGTAAATATCCCCGAATGATGCGATGGACGTAGCAGATTTATTTTGACTGCTTTTATGTTTCCAAGTTATGGCATGAAAGCAAATTCCAACATTCTACAGGAGGTTCCGACATTAGTTTCCCATTACAAATCATACACTAGGTCCATACACAACCTGCCGGAGTGACACCAGTGAAGAACATTGTCTCACCCTTAATTGACAGATTAAAATACTTGTGTTGTAAATAAAGTGTACATATCCATGTACTTATTGTGTTGTACAATTAATTTTAACTGGTGGCGGCGACAGAATTATTACAGAAAGCACCACGTTGGGATAATATTACAAAACGTAACAGTACATTGTTTGTGTAGAAAGTAAAACTTTGATATCACAAATTTCAAAACTGATAAATCTTATTGAAAACAGCTAAAATATTGAATTTCAAATTTAGATTCATGAGAAAATATTCAAACGATGATAACACATGATAGTTTTTATTACACTGAATTTGTATTGATACAACAATATTCAAACAAGAGAATCACACGGTGGAACAATATATACGCCCCCCGGGATCCCATGACAAACGGATACTTAAAAAATTTGTCTGATACATTATTGTATTTAAATGTTTGAGAATATTGAACCTAACAAGAAACTACATTGGTACTGTATTACATAGTAATGCTGAATTATTTTTAGGATGTGGTGAAAAGAGAAAACATACTGTTTACACTTTACAAACATATGCTAAAGACATTTATATATATATATATGTTGTATATCCTTTAAAATCTTTGAAAACAATAATTTTTACATTTAGAAATTGCTTTCCTTTGTCCATATTTCAAACAATATTCAAAAGATTTATTTTTTTATTTTACCCTTTTGCCTCAATGATAATTGCAATAAAACAAAAAGCACATGCAAAGCTGGCAAATATTAAAACATTACTGCAATACACAAAGGATAAATATTGTGGGATTATTATTAAGCTTGATATATTTTAAAAAGATTTGTAGAATAAAGATCGAATTGTGTAAGAAATTAAAATGCCAATCACTGTTTCAATTATATTGGCATCAACATTATGAATTTCAAAGCACAACTGCATGTCAAGAAAATAAAGCTCAGCCAGTTTTGAAATGATCCATCATGGGTGAGGAGACCTCTGGACGAGATCAAAATAACAAGAAACAAGAAACCGCCAATTGCGATATGGCCAGACTGCTACAGTACATTTTCATGTAAACAGTAAATATTCTTAGAGTAACTGTTTTTCTTGTGGCAAATGACCAAAAATGTAGACCAGAAGCGACATGCAAAGCATCGCATGTGATTAGCATCCTTAGATAGATACATAAGCCATGCAAGTTTATTTGATGAACAACAAGTAGTTCCTAAGTAACTGACCTTAATCAATCTTCTTTACCTAGTCACTGAAGTTGAAAATGTAGGTCAGAACCAGCATCCGAAGCATTGCATGTGATAAGCATCCTGAGATACATAAGCCATGCAAGTTTAGTTGATGTAGGACAAGAAGTTACTTGGTAAGTGACCTAAACCAATGTTTTTAACCTTGGTGCAAATAGGGCCTGACCTTAACCAATCTTCTTAACCTGGTCAGTCAAGCAGAAAATGTAGATCAGAAGCAGCATCCGAAGTATCACATGTGATTAGCATCTAGTTAATGTGGGATAATTAATAACTTGGAAACTGACCTTAACCATTCTTTTTAACCTTAGTGCAGACAGACAGACATACTTCCGGTCATGAATTACCAATCTATAAGTCCTGATTGTGTTGCAATCCAGCCAATTATGTCCCTATGAAATGACCAAATCTTTGTACTTTTACCAGAAAATAAATTCCAAAAAGAGACTGTAAAAGGTAACATATCAGTTAAAATACTGGCAATTATTTTGAAGTTCATAAAACATCTAATATACATACTGGTAAAAGTGACAATAACAATGATATATTATATCCCTTCACATTGTATCAAACAAGGTAGTGTTGCCTTCAACTTCGGAAACAAAAAAGAACAACAAAGGGCCATAACTCTGTTTATAGTGGAGAACATAAAAATGGACTGGATAAGCTTTGATAGAACAGCCCTTCAGGCCAGGTGAGCTAATTATTCTGCACTTTCAGGTTACAAATCAACAATATGACTTTCACCTTCATTCAGGTGAACTGACCATTGAATCTTCACCATCACTTCTGCAACCTACACCTTCACTGCAGCAGCTATGTTATATACCTTGTTTCAGTTCAATAACTCAACAAGCGTTTGTTCGTCACCATCAATATGATAAACGTTCTTTAGTGTCATCGTCCTCACTCAATTCCATCATGTCTCCTGCTTCAGCTGAATCTCCTGCCTGATTTACCGTGTCGTAGTCAAATCTTTTTACCTCAGGATCAGAAGGGAAATCCGCCTCCCAGTGTTCACTGCCATTTTCATTCTGTGAGTGTAGTGTTCTCCTACTTTGGTCGTCATGTTTTTCGATCTCTGTATTCTGTACAAGGTTATCCTGATGATGGGTCTGTTTCTTCAATCTATCTGTATCTAGCTTCTTGCCAGAAAACGTGTAAATGTCTTTATCAAACTTTAACAGCATCTTTCCCAAATCGCCATCAAATCTGTTCTTCACGACCTGAAACCGAAAAAAACGCATGCAAACTTCAAATCATGCATTGCCAACATATTTCGCTGCAGTTTAATTTTGGTCTTTTTCGCCCTCCGTAATGAGGACAAATTTATACCATTACAGCAAACATTTGTTAACATAATTTAAATAGTAATAATTAAATACAAACGGTGAATTTAATATTGAGCACAAATGGATTTCACTGTGGAAGGGCGAGAAATCAACTGGGCTAAAATTTCCCAGTACACAGTATATCACTGAAGTTTGGGTTTGAAGACATTGTGGATGGATGGATGGATGGATGGACAGACAGCAGGGTACAGCATAAACTCATCTCTGACCTCAGACTAGATCTGTGACAGCCAATGATCTACTGCAGACAAATTATTGTAAAACCTGTTCGTTCTTACCTGTATGTATTTGCCAGCTTGTGGATTGGTGTTCCTTCGGTCCTGAAGGATGAGTATGTTGTCAGCTTCCTGAGTGGCCTTGGCCGAACCAAACACTGATGCTGTACACAGCTCTTCCTCTTTCTCCTGATAATTAAATAAATAAAATAGCTACTGTATACCATTGCCCACAGTTTAATTTCTGCCTTTTTCACTCTCTGTAACAAGGTCAATTTTATCATTACAGCGAATATAGGAAGACGACGCAGTATACATCGTAATTTTATGTGATGGGCGAAAAATTTACACTGGGCGAAAATTGAGTTTATTGGAGATGGGCGAAAGTATGACTTGGCTTAAATTTCCTGCTACATGTATATAGCATATATTAAGCTGTACTTGCAGATTGAGGCATTAAATCAAATTTGTTTTTTTAACAGATATAGTATAAATTGTTGAGTTTATTTTATTAACTGAAAGTGACAATTTCCAATTCCTGGACACAACTTTGAGTCAGACATAATTGGGCAATCCTCAGAATAATTATGTACTGGATAAAGTGTCCTTCAACTGTGTCCAGCCTATGGCATTTCATTTCAAAAATACCTATAACGATCCAAGGATGTTGTTGTCGTCATATGACCTTTAATAGCCTAAAACCTTAAACAACAGGTAATGACAGGCATTGGATTACAATGTACACCACCTTTCTGTTCAGCAACCAATGGAAAACAACAAAGTTTTCAAATATTTAAAAAAAAAAAAAAAAAAAATCACCAGCTTTATTCCACAATTTCCTCCGTGAATGCAAGATGATTTCAAGACATAGTGGACTCGTGACCGAAGGGTTGCGGGTTCGAGTCACGGCACAGCACTGTGTTGTATCTTTGAGCAAGATACTATACTCAGCTGTAACTGAGTATACGTGGTTGGGCAGTGCTAGAATTGTTGAATGTTGGCTGTGAGCGCCAAAATGGCAGCATTGGCTGTATGCTCCCCAAGGAGTAGAAAAAGATATTGGCAGGTTGCAAAGGCCCTATAACCACGGATTATAATTTGTGAACCGCTTTGAGAGGACCTACGAATTATGTTGTGATATATAAGAACCTCAAATTATTATAATTATTGTTATTATGAATGTTTCCCTGTACTGCCAAACCCCTATAATAGTAACACCAACATTTTGCTAGACAAATGGTGGAATTATAACAAGGCTTTAATGTATATAAATATTAGCAGTACCAAAAATTATATGTGGGTGAATTTGTCTTAAAAGTTCAATATTAGAACTTTAAGAGCAAAACAAATTAGGGTTGAGAGTACCTACCTTGCGCGGGTGAATGACAACAGTGATGTGACAGTTCTTGGTGGTGGCGAAGTTCCTGAAGCTGCTAATAATACGATCCTGCATGAAGAACTTTTCCTTATCCATAGCCCCCATCATAAACTGGAGGTTGTCGACAACGATGTGCTCAATGTCGTGGACGTACACCGCGTGAGTCATTGCCTGGATGATAAACTCTCTTCAGAAAATTTTGTATCTTAAAAATGCCTATTATGTCTCAATTGAAATGCATCTTTTATTTCAACTGAACTGAAGAATACTTTAAGTTAAAGATTCTCAGTGATCTGTATTGTACCTCTAATAAAGAAGTGTTCCAATTTTTTAAGCATTTTTCTGACTTGGATTTGCTGGTCTATTTACGATGGCAAAAAGTTATACATTCACAGTGAAGAAATATATCTATTACAACTTTCTATTTAAAAAAAACTCAACCACCTTACAATATCTCCTATGAAAATAGAAATGATGAGCAACAACACCACTGAATCGGGTACAAAATGTAATGTTTGATTTACATCCCAAGTGCTCTGTTGTCACTAATATTACCTATGCAAAACATTCCGTCTCACAAATCAGTAAATGATCATCAAAGACACCAAGTTATTGAGTAATCCTTCTGATCTTTTTAATCATACTTTGTTTTCTTATACATTTCCACATCTCTAACTCCATGCTATTGTGGCTTATCCACATAACTACACACAAACACTCACATCTAGAACACTCTTATCCACATAGCTACACACAAACACTCTCATCTAGAACACTCTTATCCACATAACGACACACAAACACTCACATCTAGACCCCTCTTATCCGCATAACTACACACAAACACTCTCATCTAGAACTCTCTTATCCACATAACTACACACAAACTCTCACATCTAGAACACTCTTATCCACATAACTACCCACAACCACTCACAACTAGAACACTCTTATCCACATAACTACCCACAACCACTCACAACTAGAACACTCTTATCCACATAGCTACACACAAACACTCTCATCTAGAACACTCTTATCCACATAACTACACACAAACACTCACATCTAAAACACTCTGAATTGACTGATGACCATGAAACGTCATGAAGAACAATGGTAGATGTTCAAACTTTTTGGACCAAAGGTCGAACTCATCTAGATGGGTAGACAGGTTCTTCCTACAAATATAGAACACATAGGCAATCAAATGTTTTTGTTCTCCGAAAGTGGTATCTACAAATAAAATTTGATGACTGTTTGACCTCTACTCTAGTATTAGAGTGATTAAGCTAAGTCTCACCAATTGGTAATAAATACCGTAAATACATGATATACAGGTTCCTTGTGATGGGCTGATGATCAATTATAATTGAAAATTGATCGGTTTGCCCTTTCCAATTCTGATTATCCATTACAGATTCCATAATCAATATATTACCGGTAGGTTCATTATTAAAATAGAAGTATTTAAATGTCTTCTATGTAAAGTATGATTTGAAATACATATATTGTTATGATTGATAGTTGATTGATATTGATTATTTATAAAAGAACCAAACCTAATGTATAGTGAACAGCTATGTCTATTGATGTAATAGCAGTGTTCACTTTATTTGGGTATTCAGTCCCATACATTTATAAACTGATTATGCAATCGATCATCAATCGGTTTACTGCTTCAAATTACAAACCGATTATCGATTATGATTTTAAACCGATTGCCCATCACTACAGGTTCCCCATAATGGGTTGGTTGTTATATCATGTTTTTCTAACTCGAGTTAGTTATTTTTAAGTTTTATAAAGACAGGTTTACTGAGTGTATTTTAAAATTTAAAATTAACTAACCAGGTAAGGTAAGCATGATAACCAACCATCACCAGTCTTTGGTACCTTTTTCTCCCACAACATTACAAATTATATAAAAAAATCATACGTTTTTCATGGGAATACATTTTCCTGTTTCTGAGCAGGTTAATTAATACCATTGACTATGACGTCACAATGGCAGATGACGTCACTATGCATCGTTACTCAACGTCATGATTAGAAGATTGCCCATTGAAATAACGTCCCAGGAGTTACCCACCCAACCTGTTGACCAACTCCTAGCAGGTTTATCAAGAGTCGGGAGTGAGGAAACCTGTAGTGGTTGTGGGAGAAAATACTGTTTGATAATCATTTCATGACCAGACATGACAGGACAGGTCAAATTTTAAAAACTCAATTTTTGAAACATTTTTGAGAGAGAAAAAAGGGTATTACATTTCAATAATTTTGAATCGCAGGAGATGTATGTAATATTTGAAGTTTTAATGATAATGAAATCATAAATTATGTATAATTTACCTGAACGCCATATGACTTAAAAAAATTGACAAGCAAACTTCTTTTTCAAGAATAAAATGTTGGGGGAACAATTTCTTTCAAAAGTTTTAAGCAGTATTGATCATGTATTGATACTTTATACCCACTACACACTTACTTTGCAAACTGTGTGAGCATCACTTTGGCCAGTTTCACATTGGGTATCTCAAAACTGCCCCACAACGTTCTTACCTTCAAACAGAAGGAAAAAACAGAAAATGATGTTTCACAATAAAGAAATCACAGACTAAAATTGCATTATTTCAGGTTTTGAATCACTTGATGTTAGAATCTTTGAAGAAAACTGTATAAAATTACTTATAAAACATTGAAAAATCACATGGGTCACCTTACAGTGGAAGAAAATTGCTTTGTTTGGATATCAAAATATAAATTGTTTTTAAATAAAACAAGGCATCACAAGCGATACAAATCCCCTCGCATTCACACATTGTGACATATGTAAGAGGAAATGAAGTTGCTAGAGTGATGACAAAGTTTTTTTCTGAAAATAGGAACAGTGACCTTGACCTTCAACATAGAAACCCAAAACGAGAACTTATTCAAGGCATTGCCATAACAAAGACTTGTAGGAAGTTTCAGGAATGAAGTTGATAGAGCGATGACAAAGTTTTAATAAAAATAATAAAAATTGACCTTGACCTTTAACGCAGTAACCTGAAACGAAAATTTGTTCAAGGTATTGTCATACTAAACACTAGCATCAAGTGTCATGAAATTCCCTTGAGGAATGAAGTCAGTAGAGCAATGACAAAGTTTTCCTTAAAGTAGTAAAAGTGACCTTGACTTTGAACATAGAAACCCGAAAAACAAACTTGTTCAAGGTATTGCCATTCCAAACATTTGAAGGAAGTTTCAGGAAAGTCCATTGAGGAATAAGTCGTTAAAGTAATGACATACTTTTTCTAAAAATAGTAACAGTGACCTTGACCTTCAACATAGAAACCAGAAATGCAGACTTGTTCAAGGTGTTGTCAAACCAAACACTTGTATCAAGTTTCATGACATTCTGTTGAGGAATGAAGTCAGTAGAGCGATGACCAAGTTTTTTTCTTCTAGAAATAGTGACCCTGACCTTTAACATAAAACCCAAAATGCTTAAGGCATTGCCATACCAAACAGTTGTTTGAAGTTTCATGAGATTCCCTTCAGTAATAAAGTCGCTAGAGTGATGACAAAGTTTTTCTAAAAATAGTAAGTGACTTTGACTTTCAACATAGAAAACCGAAATGTAAACTTGTTCAAGGTATTGTCATACTAAACACTTGTTTAAAGTTTCATGAAATTCTGTTGAGGAATGAAGTCACTAGAGGATAACAAAGAGTGTAACATACGGACGGACGGAATCCTGTATCCCCTCAAACTTTCGTTGCGAGGGGATAGTAATTTTTATGTTATACTATTCTCTCTCATGTCTTATGTCTCTGTCAAGATCAATATTAAGGTAAAATTCGGGCTTCAGTGATACTATAAATATAACATTTGTGACATGTGAAGTCATACACAATGGTTTTTATAATTAAATAATTTATTCACAGTTTAAATACAACACATCAAAAGTTTACAGTGTAATATTTGACATTAAGACATATCAGTTTTCATTCCAGGATATCTAATTGTTAAGTTAAATTTTGGTAAATAATGGTATGCATCATAAACATTTGTCAATTACTTTTTAAGTATTTCTTAACATTTTCTTCATGTTGGTAAGTATGGATTTTGAAAAATATCTTGCTCCATACTTTGTGATCATGAGTCATCCAAAACTAGATGTGTTATCCAAGTTATTCCATTCAGACAATACTAAAAAGTCATATTACATATTAGAAAGAGAGAGAGAAAAAAAATTAAGCTTCTTGCTAATTTCGTGAAATATACTTATCAAAATTTCCTTCATCACAATACCGTCTCTATTGCTACAAGATTCTGATCTCTACATCTTTTGGTTACAAATCAGGAAGCTGAAGTGAAAATAAAATCTTCCAGCCGAGTCTGTGACAACAGACATCGCCATGCTTTTCTCAACCTTCATGATTATAACCCTACTTTTGACGGCAAGAACAGAAGTACTTATTATGGGTATTACAAAGTTACTCCTTCAGAAGGAGTCTAGGAGTCAAAGTCTGAACTACAGATAACTAAATCAGCTGAGCCTGAGGCAAGTTACTAGATAGGTAAACACTATGAGGGATAGCTAACACAACTCTTTTGCTTGTAACTCACTTACCCCTGATTCACAAAGATCAAGTGAATACTCGCTCATGAAGGTCGTCTTGCCAGATCCTGTAGGTCCAGTGAATACAGTCATCTCCCCAGGACGGTGGCCTTTCAGGATCTTGTTTAGAGGGAGGTACCGCTTCCACTGAAACACAAATGGACAAAGTCAATCATGCAGCTAGATCAGTGTAGATTGATAACAAACACAAAGTGACTTAAAATACTTTGCTATTAGAAAAACACATTCAGCCATTTTCACAAATCTATTTGTACCCTTAAACTATGATTTTTTTGTTTGTTCCAAATTAGGAAGTATTGTCATTAAGATCACATTCCTTATCTTTATAAAACACTTATTTAATTGTGTAATGCATTGTAGTATTCTGACATTTAAATCATACAGCAGCTCAAGCTGTTGGTCAGATAATTCAGGGAATCAAACTTCAAGTGTCTAGATTAAGGAGATTCAATGCAAATGAACTACAACTATATCTCCATTATTACCTCTGTCCCAGCCACCATTTCAAGGTTTGCCAGCTCAGAGTAAACCTCATTTTTCATGGCAGAGTAACTGACAATAGACTCATGCTTAATCTGGTGAGCATTTTTTATGATATTCTTTAAAGACAGGCCCTGTTGTAAGGCCCTATAGGGACCAGGGGTTTCAAGACTTGGCCTGTAAGACAAAAAAAATCATGTTAGATTAACAGTTAGAGTTACTGTACAACACGAACTGTTCATGGGTACTTTCATTCGTGGTTTGAAGCCATTTAGACACCAAAAACCTTGAATGTTTATACACAACGAACATTTCATGTTATACAGTGTATGTCCCTAACAGTCTGTGCCCCGCTGAGTTCTAAGGCTACTGTAATTCACCCTTCTCATTTAATTACTATGTTACTTCTGTAGTTTACTTAAATTCGCTGTTATGATGAATTCGACCCATTAGGGAGGGCAGTCAGGCATGAATTAAATTGCAGCGAAATCTTCCAACTATACAGTATTTCCAGTTCGGGGCGAAAAAGGAGTGATGTTAATTTAGAATGATATTCAGATCACATGTTGGGAGATTTCCAAGTCTAAACTAAGTTGTTTTGATGCTCCAAATCTGGAGACTCTGGGCATATTGGGAGATATCAAACATATATTCGAAGCAATGAATTTGACCATGGTAAATAAAACTCTGGTATTGTTCTTCTCAAACAGTCTCTGGTTTTTAAACAAGCATACCTGATTATGTAGCACCTGGAACCATTTAATTTCTGCGCAAAATGTTTTGCAGCTTTCCAAGATAACAAGTCATTTTCAAACCACAACAGGATCTTTTTGAATCTTTCCAGATCAGGTAAGGACTGTATGCAGAAAGCAATAAAAAAGCCAGTCAAGATATTATTATTATCAAATTAATATTTTGAATAGATTGTCAATTAAAGTTAATATACATTTGACATTTTATTGAAGAACTTGGCAGTATATTAAATCATCATGTATAGCAAGGTATTACAGAATCAATTAATAACTCAAGCTAAACACTTTAATTGAGAATTCTTGCTTTCACTTAACTTGTATAACAAATAATATTTTGGTTCTCAGACCTGCAAATGCCTAGATGTGTTCTAAATACCCTTGTTGAAAGAGTAGTATGGGTAGTCATGTGTTGTATTGATTTTCATGCTCCTTATTTTGTTAATCCAAAGAATAGAAAGATCTACCATTGACAGAGGATCTTCTTCAAGAAGATGCACTTTAACAGTATGGAGGAAGTCTCCCTTGGAGGACATCAGCTATATTTACAATATTCATCCAGGGAAAGGGTTATCGTGGGGAGAGATCCAGAGTTTTGATTACAGCTATGGAATAGGGAGGATATTCCCAAAGCTCACCTTAGCTCTATGGATAAGGAAAGGACTCCTTTGGAGAGAGATTTAGAGTTTTAACTATTTCTATGGGTAGGAATGATATTCTCCTAGGAAGTTTACCTCTCTGGGTGTAATAGAGGTTTTATTGAAGAGATCCATAGGCTAACTGATACCTCTACAGACATAAAGAAAGAACAAGCTTTGTCTATCTACAGTAAAGCCTTGATGTATTTCAAGGTTCCTTATTTTCTTTTTCTTAAGATTTCCTTAATACCTTTCCTTTGATTAATCATTAAACCCCTTTATAACGCTAAATTTTCTCTCCGCAAATGGTGGCAAAATGATGAGGTTTTACATATGGGTATGAAAGATATTTCTGATAACAGAAAAGCTGTATTTACCTCTATTGGTATGGAGGAGATTCCCATAGGAAGAGCTAAAGCTTTTTTCTTTGTGGTCTCGGTGATCGCCATGGCATCAAATTCGCTGGTCGTAAGGATTATGTAATCATCACTCGTTGAAATCTGATTCCAACCAAACAGGTGACACTTCCCAGATCTGATGGTGAAAGTGGAATTATTCAGTACTAAAACTTTATTAGAACCATAGAATAAAGCAGAAAATAATATATACAAGAGGCCCGCGGTCACCTGAATTATATCATAGGTAGGTACTGGTAGCTTTATTTTATTGTTTAGATGTGATGTGGAAATCAGCATGTAAACTAAGTGAAATACAATACTAATGTCATGTCATCAAAGAATAAGACTTTTAAAATATTGGTTTATGTCCCCTTTGGGGCCCCGCCCTAGCCCCTGGGGATGGGGCAAGAATCCCAATTTTACAAAGTAATACTCTCATTCACCAAAGATGATTCTGACTAAGTTTGAGTAATTTTCTGCTGAAAATGGATAAAATATATACCCAAAAGTGTTATTTCCCTATATAAACTATAGTAAACTTACCCCCTCCCCAAGGGAGAACGGATAGCTCGGGGGTCCTTAAATTTACAATTTAAATAAGGCCCCTGATGATCTATCTTTCCATGCAGAGAAAATGACTGTAGTATCTTCGAGTCTGGAGAAGAAGATTTTTGAAATATTGGTTAATTTTCCCTTTGGGGCCCCACCCTGGCCCCAGGGGTTGGGGTAGGAATACCAATTTTACAATTTAAAACAATCTTCCTCCAAGGATAATTCTCAACAAGTAAAAACAATTTCCTATAGAAAAATGTCAAAATATACCAAAATATACCCAAAAGTGTTATTTCCCTATATAAACTATAGTAAACTTTACCCCCTCCCCAAGGGAGAACGGTAGCTAGGGGATCCTGAAATTTACAATTTAAATAAGGCCCCTGATGATCTTTCTTTCCATGCAGAGAAAATGACTGTAGTATCTTCGAGTCTGGAGAAGAAGATTTTTGAAATATTGGTTAATTTTCCCTTTGGGGCCCCGCCCTGGCCCCAGGGGTTGGGGTAGGAATACCAATTTTACCATTTAAAACAATCTTCCTCCAAGGATAATTCTCACCAAGAATCCTGCAACACTACATATAAAATGGCCACTGCATTTAGCACGCAGATTTCCATTACCATGAAAATAACCCTGATTTTTGTCACTTATTTGTTTCGTTTGGCCTTTCCTGGAGTTTCTTACAGAGATGTGAATTCTTGTTCAATGCTACAGCTGTTTGAGTCTTCCTTTGGAAAACAGGTGAGCTTTTTGGCGCTGATCAGTGTCCTGTCTGCCAGGTAATAGGGCAGCAGCAGAGCCTGATCCTCACTGTGGTACTTTACATTATAACTGTTTAAAGTTGACAGAGACAGATTCTACAACAAAGAAAAGTATGTGTAGTCAAATATAACATTTGATTCTATCTAATCCTGTGTGACAAAACAAATTGTTCAGAATATATAGACAAAATTCACAAGTCAGCTTAGAGTTTAGTCTTGCTCCACCTTTTCAATTAGAAATGGGATTAACTCATTATGTCGGATCAGCCAACATATTATAGTACTCAAAAATTACAGTTCTGTCTATATAGCTTCCACCCGTCTTATATATAATCACCAGCTTTCTATAATCTGTTTAGCTACTACTTAGTTACCTATGAAGTTTTTTGAATTCTCTTTACTAATCAATTTGACCATTTAAATATCATTTGTTACTTCTCTGTCTTCACAAAATGTCTATATAGACTACATAAATTAGTCTTTATAGCAAATCTGGAATGAAGATCTGCAAAAAAATCTACAGCAATACCCACAAAGACAACTTACTTCACACTCGAACTTCTCCAGGACCAGTTCTTGCTCACTCTGCTCCAGCTGGTCCAGAGGTATTCCCACATCCAGGGACCTGTTCGCCTCTGTGGCACCCTGTTTTAGGAACGCTGCTCCTTGAACCTCTGACATGCAAGGAAAATCAAGTCTGAAATAAATGGCAAACATGATAACGGGGTTTGAAAAATCTTAAGCCATTGAGATCCACTTAGATTCTGTGATATATTTTCAAAGAATTTGATACAGAGGTAACCAAACAAGTAACTATGTAACGGGAAATTCTCACCTTTTTCGCCCTCCATAATGAAGGCGAATTTATTATTACAACAAAAAACATAAAACAACATAATACACATAGTAACTAGAAATTTGTTTTTGTGAACAAAAACGTATGTCTTCCCTTATTGGCCAATATGCATATTTGGAAGAATAGAAAGGTCACATCAAGATTGAGGTGTGTAAATTCTAAACCATTAAACTTTTAAATTATTCTGGTTCATGTTAAATTGTCTGAACAATTTTGGTTAAGTCTCGACAGCTATGCTACTATAAACACATTTACATGTATATAAAAATAGAAATTATCACACATCTAATTACAATCTGGTTCCTATATTGGCTGATTATTTTTCATAAACCTAGTGTATTTAGGTCATTTAATAAGATTATGCAGATAAAGTCAAATACTTCTAACTGTGTAGAGTATCTACATTGATTATGTACAGATGGGTGATGTTCAGTGCTTGACTCTGCCTTCCTAATAATCATAGCAAGTCAACGTAGGAGAAATAACATGGAACTTTGCTGCAGACAAACTTCAGTATAAACAAGAGATCCCAGAGGGATCTTGGCGTCCACCATTGTACCATCTTCATTAGTTCTTTGTCAGTTCGATCTTTTCTCTTCTATCCTTTAATCTGTTTGATCGAGTCATGTTATCAGTAAATGCACCTTGAGGTAACTTTTGATCTAAACTTAATACTGATGTGCATGAAACCTTCAAAGTGAGTTTTTCATTCCACATATTTACTAGTACAGTACTTAATGTGAAAGAAATAGAATTGATCATTGCAATATGAGAAAGATCATTTTAGTTCTTCCTTTAGCCATTTTGTGTTTATAATCAGTCTCAAAATATAACATGGAAAACGAGGGATCAAAGGCAACCTACATATCAAATTTGAGAAAGATCCCTCAAGTTATTCCTGAGAAATAGTACTAACAAACCTTCAATGTCAAAAATCAAAGATGGCTGTCGGTAGGCAATTTTGTTTAACTGATCAGTTTCAAAAGTAATCATGAATAATAAAGGATAGGGGGGGGGAACCTGCATTGGCTGGCCCAAAAACAAATTTTGGGGCGAGTAAAGAATTTGAAGCAATGGCCCAAATGACATATTGGTGGCCCAAATAATTTTGGCAAGAAATATTTCCACAGCATTTAACACAATGCTTCAGCACATTTAAATTACATTAACATTACTATGTTTGTTAAATGTAAAACAGAATAAAACATTATATTTTTAATTCTTCAACCCTAGTTAAAACTATATTTTTAATTCTTCAACCCTAGTTAAAACCTGACATGATCCACTCTATACAGGTCTTCCCAAAGAAGACACCCTGGCAGTATATATATAGAAATTCCGAAAAAAAAATCATCACATTTTCTAAATCACGGACAGTTCGATTCAAATCAAAGTAATGACAACTGAAAAATGTACTGCCCCCAGTTAATGTAGAAGGGACTATAATTTCTTTTATTCATAAATTTTTCAACAGCCTGAACTATTTTTGTTGGGCCAGTGACTACTTCACTTTTGACAACTTTTGGTTGCCCGAGCAAGACTTTAATCGCCATTGGCAAGCGTGTGACCTTCCATTTCAGGCACTGCTGCACAGCTAGGGACAGAGGGGAACCTACATATAAAATTTGAGAAGGATCCCTCTGGTACTTCTTGAGAAATACCAATAACAAAAATTGTTTAAGGGCGGTGGACGGATGGACCACGGACCACGGACACAGGGTGATTTGAATAGCCCACCATCAGATGATGGTGGGCTGAAAATTAACAAAGGCCATATCTCTTTATATAGTGAGACACGAGACCCGATTTTAGAATGCGACACTCCTACTTGTCAAGATACATAACTATAGTAAGTTTGGTCAACGTAGGTGAAATAACATGGAGGTTTTCAGTGCGAGAGATTTTGCCTTCCCAAGATACATAAATGTGGTAAGTTTGGTCAACGTAGGCGAAATAACATGGAAGTTATGCTCTGGACAAACTTCGGTATTAAAAATAAACAAAGGCCCATAACTTTGCATACATTGGGGCACGAGACCTAATTTTAGTGCATTGCACACCTTCTGTGGTTGATGCAGGTATACTTCAAGTTCGATCAAGATATCTTTAGCGGTTTAAAATTTACGGGCCGGACAGGAATTTACTGAAAATGTTGCACTTATTTGACCTTTGACCTTGAGGTGAAGGTCACAGTGACCTAATTCCAGTGCACTGCACACCTTCTGTGGGTGATGCATGCATACCTAAAGTTTCATTAAGATATCTTTAACAGTTTAAAAGTCATGGCCCAGACAAGTTGCGATTAGAAGAACCAGAAGTAGAAGAACCAGTACTAATACAATATATCCCTTCATTCAAAGGGAATACATAATTTAATGTGAGGGGCGAATTTAACACTGAGGGAATATTGATTTTAACAACAAAAGGCAAAAGTTAGACAGAGCAAAAGTTTTCCAGCATACAGTAGTTAATTCTCAAATTGTATGAAGATACAAGGTTTAAAGAGTGTCTTTACATTTGAAAATTAACTAATGGGAGCTATATATACTAAGTAGATAACAAGAGGCCCAGAGGGCCTGTATCGCTCACCTGGAAATGTTACCAAAATTGAAGTTGAAATAACCAGATGTTGCTGTACATGTATGACATGCATATGGTTAGTAAGGGGTTATTTTTATATGCGACAAAATCCTGTCATTCCTACAGAAAAAGTAGGATTTTAAAGCTATTTTTCTATTTTCCCTATTTGGCCCCGACCCTCTGCCCCAGGGGGTTAAAACCCACAGGTAATACAAAATTGGTTCCCCTTCACCCAAGGGTTCTTCGTCCCAAATTTGGACAAAATCCTGTCGTTCCTACAAAAGAAGAAGTATTTTAAAGAATTTGCTATGTTTCCCCTATTGGGCCCCTCCCATCTGCCCCAGGGGGTCAGACCCAACGTTTATACAAAATATAGTCCCCTTCACCAAAGAATGCTTTAGACCAAATATGGACAAAATCCTGTCATTGCTACAGAAGACGACGAATTTTAAAGAATTTCCTAAATTACCCCTACTGGGCCCCACTCCTCTGGCCCCAGGAAGGTCAGACCCACCATTTATATCAAATTAATTTTCCTTCCCCATAGGATGCTTCTGTTCAAATTTGGTTAAAATACCTTCATCCCAACAGAAGAAAAAGAATATTAAAGCTATTCCTCTACTGTATATCTCTTATTGGGCCCGCCTTTCTGCCCCCAGGGTGGCCACACCCACTGTTTATACAAAATTGAGTCCCCTTGGCCCAAGGATGCTCCAGACAAAATTAGGATAAAATCCCTTAATCCCTATGGTAGAAGAAGGATTTTAAATGGTTTACCTGTATTTCCATTATTTTGCCCCGCCCCTCTGCCCCCAGGGGGGCCACACCCACCGTTTATACAAAATTGAGTCCCCTTGGCCTAAGGATGCTCCAGACCAAATTTAGTCAAAATCTACTAGGGCCATTCAGGACTACACGTAGTAGCGTTTTAAAGGAAAAGTTGACGGACGGACTCCGGATGCCGCAGTATGGCAGGTGAGCTAAAAATGATAACTAGCTATCATGAGTTTCAGGGCATTTCTCTCCCATATGTTGATCATTTTACATTAAGAAAACCATGTTTCCCCCTGGGCATACATTTCATTTTCTGATCTAGTAAACAACTGCCATGGATTTTCATGTCACATTCTAGGACGATGGTATACGTATTTATAAAGCAGTGTTACATGAGGTCGTAATTAAAAGACTGATTTTGAAACAATGTCCAGCATTCTAAGATGTGAAATAGGTGGTTGACTTGGAAAGAATAACCAGTTGAAAGTTCACATGCAATAATGCTGACCAATACATATTCTAAAAAAAAACAGTCGGTTCCATTGTTGATGAATATCATGCTACCTTTGCGAGCAACTCGCTTTATAATGAGAACACTGTATGAAAAGGTAACCACAACTGTTTATCGACCCCCTGCAGCTTTATTTAATTTGTCAGGAATGAAGAAACCTGTAGCTCTTTTAGGAGAAAACATGAACCCTCACATGAACACCATGGTAGCTGAAATGTGTTTTTACCTGAAGGTTCATTACCCCAATAGGCTTCCTCTTTACCTCATGTAGTCATTCTGTCCAGATTTTTATTTTATTTCTTATTAATGGTGACCTTGACATTTTGGCAAAGAAGTTTCTAGTTGGACTTATTGTTAGATAATAAAAAAAGTTTAAGACTCTTTAAAAGTAGAATATTATTTGATTTAAAGAGTTTGAAAATTATTTTCACAAAACATCATCAGGTCGCTTGGAACTTGACAATTGGCCTTCTAAATCAAAAACTCATGCAAGTCATTCTGTAATAAGTGGATGAATGTAATTAAATGATTTGAACACAAGTTACAATCTGGAAAACAATGCACCCACATACTGACAGACATGGGCAATTCTAAGACATGTAAATTCAAAGAAAATACTATTGAATATTGAACTATGTTCTTCTCTGTGCATTAAACATATAAAGAAATTCATGCAAGGTCTTATTTGCAAGATATCACATTCAATTATTGTCGGTAATTAAACTCTATCTTGACCTACATTTTTGTTATGTTACAAGTTGACCTGGAAACAAGTTTCGTACATTACCTAGCCTGTCTTTTGATATTCCGCATGTTTTCCAAGTTGAGCTTGAGAGCAGTCCAGGTGCCATGCTGCTGACATTCATCACATTGAAAATGACCTTCAAAAAAGGGAGACAAGTGAAACCTCTAATAGTCTGAACCTATTATCATTGTCATAAATCAAAATCCAACATAATGATCTAACCTTTTTTCCCCACGAAAACTACACATACCACATGAAACTTATGTATTCTAACATACTAATATTTTTTGCAGGAGGTGTCGGATGAGACAAGATTAACAGAATATTATGATCTAAGTCAGGGGTGTACAATTTCATACTGATGAAAATAGAAATGATGGGCAACACCACTGAATCCGGTGCAAAATGTTATGTTTCTATAGATATATAGTTTCATACTTAGGTTAGGTTTTCATTCGACGGAAGGTTAAACAGCACTATTTATTGTAGTTTACATGTTCTGAAGAAGGCATACCTATAAGTGTGCCGAAATATGTAAACTACAATAAATAGTGCCGACTAATTACCTTCCGTCGGATGTTGTCTAGCCATTTCTACCTCAATTTTCATAACTTTTTGTGCTGGACTTGTGTATTCCATTAACCCTTTCACCCCTATGTAACTTCATTAAACTCTTCCATGCATTGATATGGATGAGTCATTATGGTCAACAGGGGTGAAAGGGTTTTGAATCTGCAGAAGACCACCAGAACATTAGGATTTTGGAAACAGATGTTGGATCTCGTTTGCCTAGTAATTTCATATTAAGTGTACTAGGCCACAAGTTAAATTTGAAAAGTTCAAATACCTCAACCTATAACGTGTGCACTGACAAAGCGATTTGTTTTAACAACCATCCACTGAGCAAGAGACATAAATAGTGTTGTACACATTATGCATCACTTAAGAGTACATGTGACTTGAATAAACTCACCAGAGGTAGCATTGATGTACAGGTTACCGTATGGTTTGTTCTTGTTGACTTTCTTCGGCAGCTTTGGGCAGCGTGTAACTAGACAAGTGTATCCCTCGGTCAGAGGCTTCAGTCCATACTTAGTCACAGCCTCAGAAATGTTGGATGGTATGTTTTCCACCATCTTGAATACCTCAGGCCCTTTATTAGAGTTATACGATGTATCAACACCACGATTATTTACTTCCAGATTTTTTCCCATGCTGGCAGGTGTTCTTTCCTCAATTGATTTTGAATACAATTTTTTTCGCCTTTTCTTCCCTTCCTCTACAGATTTCTCACCTCCATTTTTAAGTGCATCATTTTTTCTCTCCCTTGCAGATTTGTCATCTTTTTCTTTGTTTCTTTTCTTCATTTTTTCCTGCACTAGATCATTATTTTCATTTTTGTCAAATGCTGAATTTACATTCCCTGATGGTAAAATAGTAGTTTTTCCCCAAACTGACATGTTCCTGCCGTTTTCGAGACTTTCATCGTCGGTATCCTCCAATACCTTGCCAATATCTTTTTCTTCAACTGCATCTTCCCATTTTAAATTTGGTTCCATTTCATTCAATCTATTTCCATTACTTCCACTTTTCGACACAAAATCATCATTACTGTCTTCAACCATTTCCTTTTGTAATAGTCTTTGTGTTTCAGTGTCAGCCACGTGGAACTTTTCTTCCTTTTCTGTTGGTAATGTTTTATCAACAAACATATGTGGTGAATCCAGTACCAAATTAGGTAAGTGGATGTCATTGTTTCTAAACTGATGATCCCTGGACATAAGACTCTTAGTCGCATCTGTTCTGTCTTCTAAATGATGCCTGTCCTTTTTGAACAATGACAATGTATCTGCAGTGTGCCTTTTTGTATTTCTGGGAACATAGCGATCCTCACACACAACAGCTTGTTTCTCTACGAAAGTAAAATCTTCCTCAAATGCCATATGGTCCACTGTGTTAGTAATATTGTCAGAGTTTGGTAAATGAGGAGAAGAATGGAAAAGTCTGGATGCGTTAATTGATATTGTAGGTGTACCAATGAAACCCCTGACAATTTCATCTCTATATCTAGTTTGTGTCAGGGAGACATGTTGCCATTTTGAATTTGAAATTTTCCTCCTGGCACCTGCCTTTTCTCTACTGTTTATTTGGAATTCTGTCTTCACATCAGTAAGTACCTCTGGGCACAGCTTTTCAAGAACATTTTTTAGCGGATTGCTCTGACTTTTCTGGGCATACTTTTTATATTTCAGAAGATAATACCTTACAATTGACCAAGTTGGTGTCAATTTTTCTGATGATGCCAGTGACGGCACAGAAAACTGCCTTGGAGCAGGCTCATTACTTTTTGACACACAAGATGATGCAGTCCTGTTTCTTGACTTCAAAACCCCATATTGTGAATGAGCCCCATCTCTAATCTTCCCTGAAACTGTAAAATCTGACAATGGTTTCTTTGCCGGTCCATTTCCATTTTTTAATAAAGCAGTGCCTGCCGCAGGGTTTGGAATTATCCCCGAGTGTAACAGTTTAGTATGTTTGTGATAATACAAAGAGAGTTTGTAGCTCTTCCTCATAGCTATCGTTGAATGAAGCACTCAGTTATCAAACTTCTGTTCTAAAGCTGGTCCCAGTTCCACCTATTGGAAGAGAAAGAAAAGGTTAATGCATGTGTATTAAGGAGAATCTTCTGCAGATCAAAATGTTGAGCCCATGGCCCAGATGATCAAAGCATTCCTAGATTATTGATAAATTTTAAACTTCCATATTGGATGGTTTCAAAAATACTCAAATTCAAAATCAAAACCTGCATGGGAATTTTAATTATTATATAATCAACTATGAACAAGAAATGCAACAATAGTAGCATTTCAAAATTTGTGTTGATGATTTGATTAGCTGATCAAGCCTTGAACATCGGAACCCTGAGCTAAGCACAAATTTCTATTGCAGGATCTATAATTATAATCAAGTTTTAAACCAGTGGTTTTTTTTAACTTAAATTTAAGGCAGTCTGTTCTTATAGGAAATTATAGCATTATTTTTATTTAAAGTGGGAAGATATTCCTCTTTTTTTCTTTATTTTGTGAAAATACATCACTTTGTTGGCTAGGGCAAATGCAGGCAGTCAGTATTTGGCTGTAAAACTAAGCAAAAAATTTGAAGCTGAACTTAGTCCAAGGACTAAACTCATTTGTCAGGGACTCAACATATAAAAATAATGAACCATTCCAGTGTAACAGGAGAGGAAAATTGCACGGCCAGACTGGGGTTTGAAACCGAGACCTTCCGAACTCTAGACAACAGCTCTACCAATTGTGCTATCTAGTCGCCGACAATCAACCCAGTTCAGTTCCACTACATTCCTCCCTCCTTTCTCTAAGTCTTCGCCCCCAAAATCACAACTATGTACAACCCAGGTTTGGGTATCCGCTTGCCAAGCATACACCAAATGCTTGAAACAAGGGTTGGTCACATGTATCACTGTAACAGGAGAGGAACTAGAATTTTGTTTTTGTGAACAAAAACATATGTCTCCCCTTATTAGCCAATAGACAAACTTTGGTATGAAAAATTAACAAAAGGCCATATCTCTTTATATAGTGGGCAAGAGACCCAAATTTAGAATGTGACACTCCTACTTCCCAAGATACATTAGGTGAAATAACATGGAAGTTATGCCGTGGACAAACCTTCGGTATTAAAAATAAACAAAGGATCATAACTCTGTATATAGTGGGGCATAGAACCTGATTTTAGTGCGAAAAATTCCGTCTTCCCTAGATTCATAAATATGGTAAGTTTGGTAAACGTAGGTGAAATAACATTGAACTTATGCTCCAGACAAACTTCCGTATTCAAATTAAACAAAGGGCCATAACTTTGCATATAGTGAAGCATGAGACCTAATTCTAATGCACTTCACACCTTCTGTGGGTGATGCAGGTATACTTCAAGTTTGATTAAGATATCTCCAACGGTTTAGAAGTTATGCCGTGGACAAACTTCGGTATTAAAAATAAACAAAGGGCCATAACTCTGTATATAGTGATGCACGAGACCTAATTCCAGTGCACTGCACACCTTCTGTGGGTGATGCATGCATACCTAAAGTTTCACCAAGATATCTTTAACAGTTTAAAAGTTATGGCCCTGACAAGCTGTGATCAGAAGAACCAGAGAAAGAATTAAGATCTAGAAGAAGAAGAACCAGCACTAATACAATATGTCTTCCTTCATTCGAAAGGGAGACATAAAAATGCACGAGCAGACCGGGGTTCGAACCTGGGACCTTCCAAACTCTAGGCGAACGCTTTACCAATTGAGCTCTCTGGTCACTGAAATTTGACCAAGTCCAGTTCCGCTACCAATACTATTACCAAAATTATTAATATAACCTATCAGCTCAGCAGTAATGTGACCAACCAGGTAAAGGCAATAATCTAGATAACCTAAAAGCTAGGGGTAGAGAAATCAGGCTCGCATGACCTAGGTATATATACATGTAAATGAACTTTTTTAAAGTTTAGATAATATGTCACTTTGTAGCATTCAGTTGGGTTGCAAAAGAGGTTAATTGACATGTTTTAAGTCCTGTGAGCTATTTCTATGAAACATCAGTCTTAATGGCTTATTATTGATGATGTTTCCTTGCTATAGAACATTTTAATAGCTGTACAAGTTCAATATATTAAATTACATATATAAATTCTGGTTTTTAATTGGGGAATTTAAATATGACTTTTCAGGGGGTTGGAAGTTAGAGTGACTATAGTATCTTTCATAGTTTGAATTATTCCTTATGAACAATTCATGTCGAGAAATTGACAAGAGACAATGTTTTCTTGGTGCGCAATGTAATTATAACGCAGAAATCCTTAAATGTACCATATGTTTTAGCAGCGGCTGTTCGTGAACTTCTTACATATATTGTCTTTCCAGTCTAGGAGAATAGGTAAATTCTTGTTTTGTTCAGCTAACTTCATTGGAATATTACATATACCAGCATTTGTTCTGAATCAGTAGCATTTTCTAAACAACATCTCAATCAACGCTATAAATGAGTAATTTATTTTACATTTAAACCTACTTATATCGTACTTTGAGCGGTTTGAAATTCTCCATACGGTACCCTCTTGCTTGCATGCTCTAATTAAAACTGTTTCTTTCTATTTGAATCCAACTGTTAAAACAAACATCTCATTAGATTTGTATAATATGATACTTATAATTCTTGTTTGCGATACATTGTTTAAATTTAATGTGACATTAGTATGTGTTATGTGTGAAATCAGAGACAATATCACTGTGTTAACCATTGACAGCAACGTTTACTACTCGCTGAAAGGCCGGATAAAAAAATCTTTATAATAGAAATCATGCAGTTGTCGTTGAGGGAGAAAAATCTGGCTATGTTCCTGTGTAGTCTGGGGTTCCCCAGGGCTCAGTCCTGGGACCACCTCTTTTTCTGTACTATATAAATTATCTGCTACCTGGTTTAACCTCATCTGTTCGCTTGTTTGCTGACGACACTGTCGTCTATCTTGCTATAGGATCAACTTCTGACGCAAAAATCCTCCAGAAAGATCTTGATTTACTGGCATCATGGGAAACATCTTGGAAAATGGCATTCTATCCAGATAAACGCAATGTGATATCCATCACGAAGAACAAAAAAGCAGTCAAACATAAATACACATTGCATGGCCATACCCTACAACACACTGAAAAAAACAAATACTTGGGCGTTACAATCAGCCAAGATCTTAAATGGGAACCCCATATACATAACATATGCATCCAAAGCCAGTTCCACCTTAGGCTTCCATAAAAGGAATCTCAACATCAGTTCCAAGACAGTCAAGGAGCAGGCATACACATCTCTTGTACGACTATCTCTAGAGTATGCCTGCACTGTCTGGGATCCCTACATACAACAAAGACATAGATGCCATTGAAAGTGTCCAAAGATGAGCAGCTAGATACACCACCAATAGCTACAGGAACACCTCTAGTGTCACTGACATGTTCCACCATCTTGAGTGGGAACCATTATCCCTCAGGAGAAAAAAACGCTCGTCTCACAATGCTGTATAAAATAATCAACAACCAGGTTGCAATTCCACACTCAAACCGTTTAATACCAAACAACAGGCAAACAAGACATAACAATGCCAACAGTTTCCAAATCCCATAGTGCAGATCAGAATACAGAAAACAGTCTTTCTTCCCAAAAACAATAAAAGAATGAAACACCCTACCAGATTCAGTCATCAAATCTGACACAGTGGACTCTTTTAAAACGGCACTTCAAAAAATTCAATATTTAATTACACCTTAAATTACTACCTTTATCACATCGTATATATATATATCATTATAATTTCTGTAATCATAATATTTTGTAAATACTTTTTTGAAATCTATGTCTTGTTGTATGTAATACCTCCACATGACATTCCTTCAGTCAGTTGAAGTTGGTCATTAATGGTAGATAGATAGATAGATATTGCACTATTTTGGTCATAGCTATATTTATCACCGGCTTTCCAAAAAGAAAATCTGACCACACTGGATGTTGGTTACAAGTCATGCCATTATCGACTACGCCAAGGGTTCTCCTACCTTGAACAGGAAGGGTCAACAGCACCTGTAGTGAGTTTGTAGTAGGACGAGGAATAGTGACGATCCTGAGACCCATGGCCCTCCAGCCAGATGCTCTACCTCTGAGCTAAAGGGAAATTCTCTACAGCTGACAATTGTAAGGCAACCTAATCAATGCACATCTTGAACAGGGCTTGAACCCACAACCCTTGGCTCTCCAGTCTGATGCTCTGCCTATGAGATAAAGGGAAATCCTTGTACAGATGACACTTGTAAGGCAACCTAATCAATGCACATCTTGAACAGGGCTTGAACCCACAACCCTTGGCTCTCCAGTCTGATGCTCTGCCTATGAGCTGAAGGGAAATCCTACTACAGCTGACACTTGTAAGGCAACCTAATCAATGCACATCTTTTACGACTGTATTAATAAAATAAATGAAGGTGCTTTCGAGCAGTTTATTTCGAAGGAACTTCATCATCTATCTTTGTGATTCTGATCCGGCTGTCTCAACTGCAAACAAAATGGTACCAAATGCGTCCAGTGATACACAGGTAGTAGCCTCTTCTGCCAATACACGTATACTGATCATATTATAGGTGTATTCACTGAATTGACAGACGAAGCTGGTACCTGTGCAGTGCAATAAAAAAATGATACGTTACATGTATTTTAGGAACCGTTATTTTGGTGAATGTCATTAGGTTCATTAGTCCATATTAATCAGAAGAAAATTTTATCCCAGCGTATGGTAGTTCCACAACTCACCTATAATCACTAAAATAACAGTTACTTTGAAGAGCGACTGGATGACAGCATGTGAACGTTGGAGCGCGCCATTACCCCATGTGCTAAATGGAAGCTAATGTGAAGGCCAGAGAGTATCCGAACGAATTGTTTTAGTAAGGGGAGACAACACAGATAAATTCAAATTTAGGTAGCAAACTACTGTAATCGTGGTGCGTCCTTAGTTACGTGTACTTCTTCTTGGCGGGTATAATACAGTGTGACAAATTTATGGAAATTCCCTCCAGGCGCGAAGCTAGAAGGCAAAACGGGGGATATTAATATGGGTCCGTCTGTCTGTCCGTTCGTCTGTCTGTCTGTCACGCTTCGTTTCCGTGCAATAACTACAACAAATATTAACCTATTTTCTTCAAACTTGGTTACAGGGTTAAATGCCTTAAGGGCTCGACCAAGTTCGATGACCACTTTCACCGGACTCCATTTGTCAGAGTTATGGCCACTTGAATAATGAAAAACGTAATTATCTGCTGGGTTTTGTTTCTGTGCAATAACTATAACAAATGTTAACCGATTTTCTTCAAACTTTGTTCGATTTTGATGAAAATTGGTATAAAGGGATATTAGGGAACTGCGAATTCAACCGCATCGATTTCGTTGCCATAGCTACCACACAGAGGCTTTTGATTGGTCGAAATTAAGATATTGTTCGATTTTGATGAAAATTTGTATATAGGCCGGAATATTAAGGGACTGCTAATTCAACCGCATAGGTTTCGTTGCCATATAGCAACCATACAAAAGGCTTCTGATTGGTGGAAATGAAGATATTGTTCGATTTTGATGGAAAATTGTATATGGGGTATAATTTAAGAGGACTGCGAATTCAACCGCATAGGTTTCGTTGCCATAGCAACCACACAAAGGCTCCTGATTGGTCGAAAGTTAGATATTATGTTATTTTTATGAAAAAATGGTATATAGGGGTATATAGGGGACTGCGAATAAAACCCGCATAAGTTTCGTTACCATAGCAACCACACGGAGGCTTCTGATTGGTCGCAATTTAGATATTGTTTGATTTCGATGAAAATTGGTATATAGGGGTATTACAGAGGGAACTGCAAATTCAATCACATATGTTCCGTTGCCATAGCAACTACACAATTGTATTCTGATTGGTTGCAATTTAGAAATTGCTCAATTTCACTCAAATTTAGTATGTACATTGTAGGTGTACTATGGCAATGCGATACTTTTCTGGTGCATCTTTGCGACTATGGGGGCAGTTTGGGGGACATCTGTAATGGTCCCCCATTACAATTAGTACTTGTTGCTGTATTGATAAGATGTTTCAACCAAATTCCTTATGCACATTCAACTCATGCTAAGTTTGCCAACCGATGTGATTTGTGCATATTTACGGATAATCAATGAGGTATTGGGCTTTTTCCCCCTCAAGTTTCAAGCTATACATTATGTCTCAACAGCACGATACTCTTAAGTATTGAACTGTTTGTGTATGGTATTTATGATCTATTTGAATGACACAGCTTTGCAAGCAAACAACATAATGCGCGCTAGCAACGACACAGCTTTCAGAGAGGCTATATAGTGACAATGGCATGCAAATGTAAATATACATGTATGAACCTAACCTCAATAATGTTAACCTACAATATGTCCTGCAAGCAGAGGATATAAATTCCACGAATTTGCTTGTTTTAAATCACTCGAACCCATGGATGAATGTTAATATTTAATTCATCTTTTCAATACTTTGTACAAATATAGAGCTTTAGCTGAAATTTGGACACAATCTTTAACAAAACAGAGTAACAAGTTCACATAATTCACGCTACGTCACAGATCGCTACATTCCAAAGTATCACATTACTCGGAAATTTGAGGTGTCTCGCTCAGTTTCGCTCAGATGACATCGTTGTATGTATAGTATTCTTGTCTTCTCATGTATTTTGTACACACGTGTACTACGCGTGTCAACAACTTCATATATCACTCTCTGATTCGATAATCCTACGTTGTTTCACAGGTTTGGAAAGTGATGTGGGAGATTGTTGATAAATGTTAATGCTGAAATGTCTCCTCCAAACACGGAAATGCACATTTCCATGAAATGTTGGATGTAACCTAGTCTCTGATCTCGGAACTCCACGTAGATCGCACGTTGACATTGTTGTTTTGTAAGTTATTTGCTATCTGTGTACCGTTGTTAAGAACGTTTTGTAAAATTCCCGAGTTGGATTGATTAGATAATATATTCTGGAAATTTGTTTCTGTGTGTTTTCATCCGTCATTTAGAGCCAACTGGAAATTTCGCGCCCGCTATATTGTCTACAATACGTTAGTGCAGATTTATTTAATAACGTGGGAAAGTGTGAAGCGGTCAACCAATCAAAATCGCTCTAAGATCTTTCACTGCATAACAGGGGTGTTATATGATAAATAAAGTCAATGTGCCTTTGTCGAAATTATCATACAAAGAAAAGTATCTATCTGCAAGAACGTTTTCTTGTAAAACAGGCAAAATTTAAAATTCCGAAATTTGTACAGTATTTTTTTGACGTACATTTTGCATAATCCATAAATTGAAACTTAACTTTAAATAAAATGGTGGAAATATTGTAAAAATAACAGATCTGACGCTGATACTTATTCTCTGTTGGTATATATCCTCCTGTTATCGGTTTCCACGCACTTCAGAAACAGTCGCGATATGATATCGGCAGAATACTGTTGAAATTACGGATGACTGTCAAAAAGCAGTTACACAATCTACTAATGGAAACAAAAAACTATCTACATAAAACTGTATTTAAAAATATCAGAACATACATTTTTTTACATTTCTCCAGTCCGAAGTAACCGTCATGTTTTTTTTTCAGTGTTAAGAAAGTTAACTCGAATACACTAAATAGACAGTGACCCGCACGTACTAAAGCTTCGTTTGGTATACACAAATATCTTTGATCGTCAAAATTAATTATCAAAACAGATTTTTAAAAATTTCACATTTTTTTTATTGATTTTTCAATATGTCAACTTGAACGAATTAATGTAATTTTATAAATTTATTCAATTTTATTTACATGTATATCTTTTTTTGCGCAGTCTTATATCGGTTTTGGTTGATGGTAAGTTATTTCTCATTTTATTCTGTTTAAAATTGGAAGTTCATTGCATTACAAGGTTTAAGTTTCATTGCAAACAGTGTTGAAAGAGGAGATGAGGACTCATTTACATACGACATTGCCATACGTTTAAAAACACTGGTTCTTGAATGAAGTATATCACTGGGGTTTTTCAGGTATCAGCTCATTTTTAGCAAGATACAAAGTGTATTAAACAAAACTGCATATTTATGCGTTTTTTTAATCAGTGATTAATGCTTATGCTTTCCGTACGAACTTCCGGTAATTCTTGTGTCAGTTTACAGACGATGGCCAAACGTCTAAAATATCCTTATGTAGTGTCCAGCAGGTCACGAAGTAACGAGATATAGCCTGATTAAATGGCTGCACTTTTCTTTGTCTGCACCGGGGGCGGGCATGATCTACGTTTCCTCCAAAAACTCACGCCATTTCAGAGTTTCAAAGTTTTTCTAAATCATCGTGACACTTTTTTTAAATGTTAATGAGGTTGACGTGTCAGCCTCGTGCCGAGACCAGTGGTGCGATTGGCTGGAAGTGCAGACAATTTTTTCGCCTAACCAACTAACACTGCATGATGAACGGAGATCATGTCCGCGGAAGGAGAATAGATTCAACGTGTATATAGGAGGTTTTTAAAAGAAAAATTATCCATCTTTCCAACGGCACTAAGCATTTTCCCGTAGATCAACTAGAAATGTTGTATTTGATGCAAGATAAGATAAGGGGTCGACTTTTCGACATCGAAAAATTTCCGCCCTTCCTATAGAATCATTAATATTGGGGGTGTCATTTTTAGTTAACGACAGTCGATCTAAACACCTAAAACATGTAAAATACACTGAACACCTTAGTGTAGGTCCAAATATACAAATATAGCTGTAACAAATTAGCAGGTCCCTGTGGTACATACTACAGATACGAAGCCTCGTCTGGTGTTAATACGATCACAGGGGCTCGGTTTCGGGATACTTTCGGTTAGTAATAAATCTATACACACCAGTAAATAACAACAACACTTTTTATCCGGTGTTAATACACATTCTAAAACCTTATACAAATTGAGGGTACCGGGGTATAAAATTTAACGTTATAAAACACCGGATAAAAAGTGTTGCTGTTATTTACTGGTGTGTATAGATTTATTACTAACCGAAAGTATCCCGAAACCGAGCCCCTGTGAATACGATGTACTGTATCTAGTATTTTTTGTAGTCTTTTGAATCTTCTCTTCAAAAGCATTTTTATTTTACCAATTATGGGACTTTATGTTGCAACAGATGTTTTAATGTATATCATATTACAACAATAAATCATATATGCATCGTTTATTTATGAAATAAGGTCGGCCGTAGTAATCAAACAGGCCCGAAGCTACCTTAGCAAGCATATACTACAGGAGAAACAGGCTGGCTGCGTTGACTTTCTCCATTTTGGGTAGTTCAGAAACGTTGGCGGAGAGCTAATGAACAATTCCAGTTGTAATTGATAAATGAAAGTATGCATTACTTTCTCGGCATTTACGACAAAATGTCCACTACTGCACTAACTAGAAACGGTTGTTTTGATAACATCTGTATTGGGACAAGTGTCCCCTTTATTTACTGCACATTATTATACATATATATAGAAGTAACAGCTGTTTTGTACGTGTTGTCTTTTTGATCTATGATGTCGCTTCGGTGCATTTTGAACTTTTCAACTTTTCAAAACCTTCTATATATGAATGACAAGTGATACCAAAACACCTGACATGAATTTGCCAGCACAAAAATGTACACCAATATGTCAATGGAGTGATCAAGCCTTTTTTCGTAAACTACATTTTTCAATCACAGGCCTCATCATTTGTCCGATAATGAGAAGGTAGCTTAATTAGTCTTGCTATTACCTGGCAGACTCGGTAGATCTGTCCATGCCAGATCCTATCCGCTCCTCACAAGCAGGATCGACACAAGGAAGATGTCCTTCTTTCCCAGGACGCGTACGGTGATCAGAGACTGGAACGCCCTCCCGCCAGACATCACCCTCGCCTACACACTGGACGCCTTCAAGGCCAGTGTGTCAAAACTCTGAGGTCCTTTGTTATTATCCTGTTTTTATTAACTTTTTAACCTTTCGACGTCAGCCAAGCACCATGCACACCACCTACGAACATAGCAGAATCTTCAACCTGTTGAAGGAGCTAAGTACAACAGAGATATTTCTTATGCCAAAGAGGCAGCTGCCTTTCTCTCTAATCTAATTCCGTGGTATAGGTTTAATTCAGTTCACACCACACTCCTTATCTCACTCTAGTAGTGGTATTTGGATAATTTCTTGAGAGATTTTTGGGAACTTCACAGAACCTATGTCTGCCTTGATAACAGTGGGTAGTTAACTTATGAAAAGGAAGAACACACAGTGTCCCCTCCAACTCTCATTGTGAGGGGATAGCAAAAGTATTTTCAACTTTTCAAAACTGTCTATTTTACAAAAACTGTCCTATATCATTAAACCAGGCTCCAAATACAATAAAACAGACATACAGTATAGAGTATGTTTTAATTACCAAAAATAATCACAGGCTATAGTTATCTAATACCAGACTTTGTAAACATTTTCCAGTCTCAATTGTTGTGTATTATGTTGACAAATATGAATGGCAAACAAATATCTATTATTTTCAAATGGTGCACAGAGGCCTGATATTAAGGTAGAGTACCCCTGTGCTCCGTATTTTATCGCCAATGAAGAAGAGTTCCAATCTGTTTCACATCTGTTTTGGAGTTGCTTTCCCATTTACTACAGCAATGAGTAATATACAAAGTACACCATCATAATTTCCTTTTCAACGAAAAAAGGCTTTCAACCCAAATTGTCTTTGTTTGAATATAGTAGAAGTAACAAAATTTCACAGGAAAATAACTGTTTGAGGACTGGATCAAGAAGCCAAGTCCCTGTGTCATGAAGATTAACTCATTCACCCCTGAAGACACATTTGAACTCTTTCAATTGAAAAGTTGGAATAACAAGTAGGTAAGAGATGGATCAACAACAGCAGGGATTCCGTGAATTAGGAGATTTTATTTGTTGACATGTTTCGGTAGGCTACGCCTACCATCATCAGAACAATTTTGCAAATCATGATGTCATTTTATTGTGAACCGTAATTAGCCTACCGAAACCTGTCAACAAATAACTCCTAATTGACAGAATACCTGGTGTTGATGCTCTATCTCTTACCTACTTGTTATTACCTATCGTCACGGACTTAGATAGCAATCTAATTCCGTGCTATCGTCTATGAAGCTCTATTAGAATACTCCAGTATCCACCTGATTCCTCCACCGAGACATCTACCAACCAGCACCTATAGGAGGTTGGACTCCTCCGCCTCTTCCTGCGTATTTTTCCACCAAGGTTGGAATAGTTCATTGTTCATTTCAGGGGGGAATGAGTTTAGAGTTGTCAAAACCATAGTGACTAGAACTAATATAACGGGTATATATATATACCATATTTATATCTGATTCCTAGTACATATACCAAACTTTTACCATATATCAACAGGACAACCCATGTCATTAAATGTGTTAATGAAAACTTCAGAAAATATTTTTCGTGAGGTCAACATAAGTTGTGTAAAATTTTATCAATCAAATTTGACAGTTTTCCAATCATACAAATGATTTCTCGCCATAAGACAAGAAAATATAATGGTTATTACAAATGAAGTTTTATTAAAAAAAACATGCAAGCACATTGTGTAACCTTGGTTTAGTGGTATAAAATGTAGTACATACTATGTTAGTGTGATACAATGGTAGTGTGATACAATGTATTTGGTTTGAATAGTAAATAATAGAGGGATGGTTTCATGGTAAATACACAAACAAAGTAATCATCTCCGACAGATTTCTGAAAAATACAAGATTAAAATTGGAACTGATCAAAACTGCACAAAAACAATGTTTTCACTATTTGTCTTTTTTTAAACTACAAAACTCTGAATAAAATAACTGCAGTTTTTACAACTCCATTGAGCCTTTATTGCTTGATGAAGCCTATTTTTAATGCCAACTCTTTCTAGTCGTTGGTTCGGTCTAAATTACTGCTAGGCAGGAACTGGTATGAATTTTAAATTACATGAAAACTTCACAACTTCTTTGTTTTCTGTTATTACATCAATGCTACAATTCAAATTATATCCAATTACTTACACAAACGTATGTATATGTATATATATGTATAGACCTGTAGGCTGTACACCTAACATTACAGATTCTGTATACACCAGATTCTGTATGAACTGGCCAAATGTAGGTTTAATCATGTTACACTGTAATCAGTACTTTTTTCATCAGTACTTTCAAAACGCCCATGACCACAAAACATAAAAGTTGTTCCATACAAATATCTAAACTCAATTACGCGATGATAAACCTGATAATTTTTATGACCGAAATCTGTAGCACCAATACGCTCAATAGGAAAAATTCACTTTGAGCAAAGTTCTGTCACACGAACTGCATCTCATTTAAGGAGTTCCTCAAAAATACACTAAATTTAGTGTTGTATAATAATGAAAGCTTGTGTTTAAAGTAGCATCATGGAGTTTGGAGTTAGATATCATTCATCAAAATCATTCTCAGTATATCAGAAACACATTTATAAAGATTTCTCCTAACTAAAAGAGAAAGGTAAATCTGTCTCTTCAATTTATTGGGAGTTGTAAAAGTAATACATAATAAACTGCATGAATGGTATTAAACTGTTGGTTCCGTAACATTAGCACAAAAAAGTTTACCAATCAAACAATAATAACAATAAATTTGTTTACATGTGTCCATGTGCCTATATATAGTAACGAAAAGGTTCACTACATTTTTAAGCTTTATATAAAAATACAATATAAATAACATATTTTTACACTTGCTAGAAGAGATGACCACATTAATTCAAGTGTGTTCAGACAGTTTTTGGCAAATTGAAATTCATATACTTTGGAATATGGAAAAATTAAATAATTTAAGTTAACCAACTCATTATTGGTTATTGCTGGTCCTGGTATTAATTTTAAACTTCGAATAAAGATAGAAAAAGAGGCATAAAATAATGATACAAACAAATATCAACTATACAAAGGAATATCTTTAACAGGAAAACAAGTGTCCTTCACTATAACCAAGAGATCAGATCAATGTTAATCCAACTTTCAGAATAAAACGTTTGATGGTTTTTTTTTCTTCATTTTAGTAGTATTTTGCATGCAAGTTCAATTATTTCTTATATTTTAGGTAAAAATGAAATATTATTGACAAATGTCTTTTAATAAAAGTTAAAATCCAAAAAGGAATTTTAGGGTAACTGTTCATCTGTTGAAGTACGAACAAGTAAAATACACAATACATGTACCTACAGGTGAATCGCTGTTAAACAATTGATAGAAATATACACAAGATATAAACTAACAGTATTGTTAATCACATTTTTTATCCACAGCAAGCTTTTCTACATGTACAAACAAGCCCATTTTTTTTTACAGCGGATGACCTCAAGCTTTATATGTATAAATCACAATATTTACATTTCCACTGCAGTCCAATTATAACCAAATCAGAAGAAATTGCATTCATAGGCTATGTACACAATGTCAAGAGTGTCTTTCTGACATTTTTCCTCCCAGCTCGCATATACTTTGAATTCATCATAAGGAACCAATATTAAGGAGACCTTAGGCTGTTCCATGAATACAGCGATAACACAGACACATTAATACTGCAAACATTTTGGAAAATTAAATCTCTAATGACCACAAATGTAGACTGAAAATTTACATATTAAATCAAATGTTTTCAATGTTCATGCCAGTATAAACTCAAGTCATTATATTACATACCAGTGCATATTCCTTCAAGCCATGCAGTCCCAACATCCACACTGAATCAATCCATATACATGTATCAAACATATACGCTCATTCAACACTTATCATGAAGAAAACAAAATGAAAACATGTAAAATGTATTACATAATTTACATATTAATTCTGTTATTTTTTGTAATGACTAGCTCCTGTTAATATATAGATGGAACAACTACCCCAAGATGGTTTAGTGGGGTAAAATGGTTCTTTTTGCATCTAATAATTTGCCTGAATACAACAAGAAAGATACTAAAAATGTTCAAATCTGATAATGTTTTGTTTGTATAATAAAGATACTCCATTAATACAATTACATGCACAAACTCATTGCAAGACCAAGTTCTTCATAGCATGTGGACCACAAATGATTTCCAATTATGGTAACTAAAGTGTACAAACGCATCAGTTATAATCAAGAAAAAGAGTTTAACAGAGGTTTTTTTTTATTGGAATCCATTAATTTAACAAGATTCAGGAAGTTTCAGTAAAGTCAGATGGAATGAAAGCAACCTAGATTTATTTTCAATTACTCAACAATTTAAACTTAAATTTAAAGTTTATGTTAAGAATTAGACTGGAAGGAAGAAAATTGGAAGAGTCAACAGGAAACAGCCTTGTATCTGTGCTTCCATCCCATTGTTCTTTGCTGCATCACAATTGATGACACTGATATTACACAAGTTATGTATTGTAAATAAAGCCTTCTTAAGGTGACAATTTTATATAACTCATTCACCCCTGAAATTTCAAAATGAACTATTCAAACCTTTGCTTTGGAAGAGTTTAGATGTGTCTTCAGGGGTGAATGAGTTAACTTCCTGAGTTTACATGTATGTCGATAATAAAGCTCCATCTTTACTTTTAACAAAAAAAATACTCTTTATTTTGTATCTGTTAATTAATTTATTGCATGTCAATAAAAACAAAATTAACGAAAATCCTATATCAATAAGAACATTAGCGGGCAGTTGCTGTGTAATTGCAAACCAAGGTTTGATGCTTGATAGCTGATCAATTTGTCGCTTAAATACTTAAAACAAATAACAAACACATATTTTATTCAACAGACAACTACATAAATATTCCATAAAGCAAAGCATATATAATTATAATAAAGAACAGCTAAAGTGCTGTGTATTTATAATTACTACATGATCAATTGGCTAATTACAGACAAAATGGCTTAATTACATTCATAGCCGGGGTGTACAATTCCATGAGCGGAAAACTGGGTTTAGAACACTTTGCATCAGAGCTATGAGAAAATTTTCAACCTGATAAAATATGTTGGGCTCAAGGATTTTTTTCCAGCTGGCTAGTATTACTCTAAATATGAAACTGTACACCTCTGCTCATTGTATGCAAATTAATTAAATTACATAATTTGTACAATTAATAGTAATTATGTATATCTTTTATGCTTATTTCAATCTACAAAATTCATATATACAAAGCTTGCGAATTATTGAAATACTGATTACATCCAACATCTAAAAAAACCCAGAATCAATCCATGACTTAGCTACTTTATCCACACATTTTCGGAGAAGCATCATCTTTATACAACATATACACTAATAACAAGGGCAGCCCTCATTTAAATTTAAAAACATCTTTGGTTTAAAAAATCAAACCATCTTTAGGTATTTTATACAACATGTACATGTATACAACATGGACAGCAACTCTATCTTTGAAAAGTCTCAACACCACTACCTTATCTTTGACAGTCTGGTTATATTAATAGCAGCATATTTAACCCATTCACCCCTAAAGTCACATTTTAATCTTACCAATTCAAAGACTGGGCAAGTCTAATTTAGATAGGTAGGGGTGAATGAGTAAATACCAAAACAAATATCCATGCTCCCCACCGCACCTTACCCATTAGTTAAACACATTTTCCAGATGACGATCGTATCCAGACATATCTTCCTACAATAAAATCAAGCTGTTGGGTTTATGGGGCCAGTTAGGAAAAAAACACACACACAAACACACATTATACATACATGTACTGTATTTCTTTTCTTTTTATTAAATGGTGCTCCACAACACTATGTGATGGGCATTTTTTTTAAATAATAGTGGAAGATGTGGAAATAATCCCAGCACTCCATTTACCCCTATCTTGATAGGTAGCTGTTGGACTGATCACCAATAATACAGTACAATTTATACAGATAGCAAGTGTTGCCAGAGATTTTTTCCACTAGCTTTGATAACACTGGTTAATTTACACTTTCATTACTGTTTTATTTATAGTGCTATTTTATATTTTTAATGATCGTCTATTTAATCTTGAAAATCAGGTAACATGTGAAGTTCGTCAGTCCAGATACTTTGGTCCCAGAGAAATTGTCTGAATAACAGTAATAAAATAAACTGAAACAAAACTCAAATCTGACTGGATTGACAAAGGTCAACTGTGACTGGATTGACAAAGGTCAACAGTGACTGGATTGACAAAGGTCAACTGTGACTGGATTGACAAAGGTCAACAGTGACTGGATTGACAAAGGTCAACTGTGACAGGATTGACAAAGGTCATCTGTGACTAGAATGACAAAGGTCAACTGTGACAGGATCGGAAAGGTCGACTGTGATGGAATCGACAAAGGTCAACTATGACTGGATTGACAAAGGTCAACTGTGACTGGATTGACAGAGGTCAACTGTGACTGGATTGACAGAGGTCAACTGTGACTGGATTGACAGTGGTCAACTGTGACTGGATTGACTAAGCTTGTAACTGGACTGATGTCCTAAACTGTAACAGGGTAAACAATGCTCCAGACTCGTGAGACAAAGCACCACTAATGACTGGAATAACAAGGCTCAAATGTCAAAATCAAGTACATGTGTAACACTGGCATGATGAAGTCCTATTACAAGTTTTGTTTTTAATGAAACTTAATTTTTTTTCTTTCTGATGAAATTTCTGAGTAAATTAAGTTTCACACAATTCTTTATCTAGGTAGTTTTGCAGGTTTTTTTTGTTTTTTGTTTTTAGTTAAACTTTTTGATATTTTGCCCTCGATTCATCTGTCACTTAAATCACTGCCAACATATACAAAGGACTCATTTACCATTTTACTTAAAAAAATCTTAAACCCAGTATAACAAAACTTTTGCTGGATATAAAATGATGGTAAGATAACAGGGTTTTATTGTACAATTACCTAAAATAACAAGTTCTGGTATAGGAATTATCAGAAGACGTAGAAAATATTTAAATAATAAATCAATTTCATAAAACCATTTCTCAAAAATATCATTCTGAACAGCTAGTGATTCATTTACCCTTTCACCCATATGTAACTTTAATTGACTCTGCCATACATTGATATGGATGAGTCCATTATGGTCTACAGTGGTGAAAAGGTTAAGCTTACCAGGTTTGAAATACCCTTGGGCCAATGGACAGAGGAATGAAGAAGCAAATCATTGTTTATCTACCTACAATATATAAATATACACAGCAGGAATTCATAGGATAATCAACGATAGTATAATTTGTTTATAAATCTGTTTATTTGTATACAATCTTATTCATACCAACATTCTAAATTAATTAATTCTTTGTCATTTCATTTATACAAGAAACCGTTTTAATATATTTATAATACTTTATCAATTGATGTGTTGGAATCATAATCATATATTTTTAAAACTAAATAATTAATGTTCATCAAGAAATAGCCAAACTTTTCCAGAATGTACCATAGTGCCGCAGGTTTTCAGAAAAATAACAGACTCCACACATTAAAAACATAGACTTCACTTGAATTGAAAACAATTCTACAAATGCTTATTGTGTTAAAACAGAGAACAGACAAACAGAAGTCAGTAAAATAATTGATTTCTATACCTGATTGTGTTTACTGACCATTTATCTGTGATCAATATAATACACAATATATTATACACAAGTTTTGCCCCACAAAATTTTCAATCTTTGGTCTTTCAAACAAACGGCCAATGTTTATTATCTTCCATTCGTGACTTTCAGTAAGTATCTGAGTTTCATGCAAAAATGTCCAGTTTTCAATTTAGTAATCTAGCTATTGTTCAAGGACAAAAAATGATGAAACATCACATGTGATTGAAAACCCATTCTATACTACAGTGTTCAATATACTGGTGAACACTGCCACATTTAACTGTTCAAACTATCACAAGGAAACACCCTTACGTAAATGTTCACAATGTAATGTAAATTCTACACCAAAAATAGGATCAACTCCACACGTCACAAGAGTAGCGTCCCTTAGATTGCATTTTCTTGATGTAATCAACAGCCACCTGCTGCTCCATGCCTCCACACTCTGTCAGAACCTTGAGTAGTGTATCGTGGACATCACGAGCCATGTTACGAGCATCACTGAAATTGACGTTAAAAGAAAATTATTTGATTTCGCGTGTTCTGTTCAGATTTCACTCAGTATCATATAACATGATACAGACCTAGTTCGCTTTGTTTCACTGCAGTTGTTATTTCCCTAAAGTAGGCACATCGCACAAAATGAAAGAAGGTCAGCTAATGAGCTGTTTTTTTTTTAATTTACCAATAGCTGTCCCAGAGATAATAATTAGATAGTCATTTCAAGTCACTTTTTCAAGGTCCAACTCTAGTTTCCTCAAAGTTTTGGACTTGAACCAACAATAACAAACACTAAGGTACACTCACAGCTGATTAGAGCCGATTCAGTTATGCACATTACATCTGAGAATGAAATCACACAACTGGACTATTAAGTCAACTCGCAAAGATCAGAGATGACATTTAAAGCATATTTTCATTGGGATGATATTCCAGATTTTTTTTCCTTTTGAGAAAATAAAGCAATTTTTAGCCAAGGTCAGCCTGTATTTGGCTGTAAAACTAGGCAAAAAAACCCCACTTTCAGCTCCCTTATGTGGGGCAAGATGAGTTTTGTCTTTTAAGATATTAGAGATTAAAATCTTTTACAATGGGATGCAAAATAATGGGTGCTAGTAATGAAGATGTATACGAAAGATGAATAGAAAAGGAAGATAGAACACCAAAGTTATGATAATTATTGCTGAAATGAAAAACAGTATTCTGATATTACTTACCCACACACATATATATGACCTCCAGCATCAAGCATTTTCCACACTTCCTCCTTATTATTACCCAGTAAATGTTGCACATACACCTTGTTTGGACCATCGCGAGAGAATGCCACATGCATCTTAGTAAGTGTGCCATCATTCTGATAGTCATTTAACTCATCCTCGTACAGGAAGTCTTGTGCCTTGTGACGACACCCATAAAACAACACTGTGTCACCCACTGTTTTTCCTGTAAAATGCAAAAACAAAAGTATTTCACAATTTACAAGTTGAAAATAATCGGGATGTTACTGTAAATTAAACAAAATTGCCCTCCCCCACCCCAAAACAAAACCCTGTCAAATTTAAAACAAGAGGCAGAGAGGGCCTGTATGGCTCATCTGGATATCTAAGCAATCATGGAAAAATATTCTTTAAATGAGATCCAAGGGAATAGGCCAGACCCCATGGCCAATCCTTGTAGCATATCTGTATTAGATTTTTCATGCACAGCAATATTATGTATAGTTATGGGGTGGGAATCTCAACTGTTTCAAAGCTGTGACTCAGAAACTAGGTCCCTAGGGTAATGGCCAGACCCCAGGATCAATTCTAATATCATGACTGCATCCGTCTCTTTATGCCCAGCATTTGTATATAAAGTTTTCGAGTGGGGATTACAACTGTTTCAAAGTTATGAACCAGGAGTTAAGTCTCCAAGGGTGGGGCAGACCTTGGATCAATTTTAATATCATGACTGTATTCGTCTATTTATGCCCAACAATTGTATATATATACTTTTGGGGTGGGGATCTTAACCCTTTCTAAGTTATGACCCAGGGGTTAAGTCTCCAAGGGTGGGGCAGACCTTGGGGTCAATTCTAATATCATGACTGCATTCGTCTCTTTATGCCCTACAATTTTATATATGGTTTTGGGGTGGGGATCTTAACCGTTTCGAAGTTATGACCCAGGGGTTAAATGCCCAAGGCTGGGGCAGACCCTGGAGCCATCCTGGAAGCGTATGTTGTTCATCTCTTTATACTCAGCAATTGTTTATATGGTTATAGGGTGGGGATCTCATCTGTTTCCAAGCTGTGACTCAGAAACTACATCCCTTGGGGATCGGTCAGACCCTACGGTCTATTCTAATATCATGACTGCATTCATCTCTTTATGCCCAGCATTTGTATATGAAGTTTTGGGGTGGGATCTCAACCGTTTCAAAGTTATGACCCAGGGACTATGTCTCCAAGGGTGGGGCCAGACCCCAGGGCCATCATGGAAGCATATGTGCATTCTTCTCTTCATACTCAGCAATTGTATATATGGTTATACGGTGGGGATCTCCTATAGTCCACCCTAGCAACACTGATGTACTAGTTTGGCCAAACAAATAATTACTTCTGTTTCTGCAATCATCCTCAGATAAAAAGATGGTAGGTAGCTATAGGTAAAGCAATTCTTTTTATTTTGGAAAATATTTAACTGTGCTTATATACAGTAGTGCATTGACTTTAACAATGCATATCACTTAATGCCAATAAGAACTTAAGGGTCGGCACAAAAGTCAAGGGTAGGTAGGGTTAAACGGAAACACACATTTATTTATATTAGGCCTTAGGGATTACGATGTAACAAAGCAATTTATTTACACCAGGAATGCAACAAACACTGTTTTCTCTTTCAAACCTGTTTTCTTTATCATAAATTTTCCTTACCATCTTTGCGTACAAACTGTCTCTCCTGTATAAATCCTCGGAAAGGTGCAAGACCAGTTCCAGGACCAATCATGATCACAGGTGTATTTGTCTTGAAAGGAAGCCTGAACTGTGATTTGCGGACATAGATTGGTACTTGATACTTTATTCCATTGTCTGGTTTTTTGAGTGCCAGCCAGTTTGTGGCAACACCTTCTACTTCACGCCCTGTACGAGTATTGTACTGTACAATAACCGCAGTGATGTGGATACTTGTAGGATGAATCTGTTGGAAAATCAAAAAGCGATGTTATTGTATGCTACAAGCACACAAAAGTAAAACATGTTAATGAATTATCAACCATCAGCATTTGTTCTACCATTATAAACCTTATTGGGTTAAGTGCCTTAATAAAAGCTCATGTCATTGAGGGTGTGTCAAATAATTGTAAAATTGATACGTACCTTTGGTGATGATGAAATGGAGTAGTACCTGGCCTGTAACCTAGGCAACAATTCCAGTAGGTGGTCTATAGGTGGCATTAGAGATGGCAGGCTCTCGAGGACCGCCAGAATGTTTCTATGATCTTTGATGATCCAATCACTGTACGATGCCTGTCACAACAAAAAGATGTAAGTTACTAAATGTTAAGCTGTATCGTGGTAAAAAGAGGTAATGAGCAATCAAAATTCCTTCTGGTCAAACAGTATTGTCATTATGGTGTATTACGAAGGCTAATAATTAAAACCAAATATCCAAAGCAACATCATCCTCGATATCTAGGTGTTACGCTCACTTTCGCTCTCTACACCCCTGGAATATGTCATAGCAAAATTGAAGGCTCGGTGTGAGCAACCTTTTTGATGAGACAAGAAGACTAGTTCAATCCTTTGATCTCACCGTCACATAGCGGTAAAAACTGACAAGCTTTGAAGTCGAGTGTCTCTCCTTTGTAATCTTCAAAGGACAGGTATTAGCCTAGCAATTGGTCAGGGTTTTTTACCCGAGACCAATCAAACAGCTATATTGGTGCCTTCAATTTTGCCATGACATATTCCAGGGTTGTAGAGAGCGAAAGTTAGCATAACCCCTGGATATCAAGGATGAAGCAACATAAGTAGAGTAAGATTGGTCAATGCAAGTGAAATAGTAAGGGAGTTATATGCTCCAGACAAATCTAAAACTAAAGCCTAGAGGGCCTGTAGCGCTCACCTGGATAATAAGCAACAATGGGAAATTATTCATATTACATAAAATACCTCCAATGGTTCAAAAGAAGAAGGATTTTAAAGATTTAAACCTCAAATTCTCCTATTGGGCCCCACAACTCTGCAACCAGAGGGGCCACACTCTTCGTTTATACTAAATTTAGTCCCCTTGATCCAAGGATGCTCCAGGCCAAAGTTAGATGAAATCCCTCAAATGGTACAGAGGAAGAAGATTTTGAAGATTTAAACCTCCAATTCCCCTATTGAGCCCCACAACTCTGCACCAAGAGGGGCCACACCCACCATTTATACAAAATTGAATTCCCTTGCAAGAAGGATGCTCTAGAACTAATTGGGATAAAATCCCTTCATCCGTATAGTAGAAGAAGGATTTTAAAGGTTTTACCTATTTGGACCCACCCCATTCGGAACACCTCGCCTATGCTACCTAGCATAGTAGAAAATGACGAAAGGGTATTCCGAATGGGACCTACCCCTCTCTGCCCACATGGGACCACACCCACAATTTTTATAAAATTTAATCCCCTTGGCCCATGGATGCTCCAGACTAAATTAGGATAAAATCCCTCCATCCCTACAGTAAAAGAATGCATTTCAAGATTGTACCTCTATTTCCCCTATTGGGCCCCGCCCCACTGCCCCCAGATGGGCCACACCCACCATTTATAAAAAAATCAGTCCCCTTGCAAGAAGGATGCTCTAGAACTAATTGGGATAAAATCCCTTCCTCCGTATTGTAGAAGAAGGATTTCAAAGCTTTAACCTCTATTTCCCCAATTTTGCCCCACCCCTCTGCGCCCAGGGGGTCCAAACCCCCCGTTTATACAAAATTGAGAGTCCTTTGCTCAAGGATATTCCAGGCAAAATTTGGATAAAATCCTTTAATATTTATGGTAGAAGAAGGATGTTAAAGGTTTTACCTCTATTTCCCCAATTTTGCCCCGCCCCTATAAAAGGGACATTAACTCTGTATATACATTATATAGTAAGACAAAAGACTAAATTTAAGTATGTGATATACTACCATGTTAGGGGCTCACGTACAAAATCTGGTAATTATAATTGTTAAAGTATACCAGGTATGTATGCATCAAATGATGCACTATGAACAAAGGGCCACAACTCTGTTTATCAACCACAAACCTGATTTCAATATTTTACACGGGTCCATTCCAGGTACTGGCATACAAAATTTGACAATGGTAGATGACAGAGCAAAATGATACACAGATTGAATGGTGGACTGATGGGCCTGAACATTTTATATAAATTCTAAAACTAGATATGTGAAGGTACCTTAGATTCTGGAGATGAAGATGTCATTTTGACAATGAATTCCTTGTCCTTTTCATTACCATACTCCGCCAGTTCGCGAAGGATGTGAGTACGGGGCATACTTGTGATGTCCAGGTAGTGGGACAGAGCCGTTCGGTAGGTGGTTGGACAGGGAAATGGGTGCTTCTTACTGGCCTCCTCTGTAACCAACATGTATCAGATATTAATATCCAGCCCTTGTCGGCCATGAGATCTTGTGTTTGAACCCAAGTTTATTGGTTGGTGCAATTTCAAATTTTGGTGTTGGAAGCAGCTTGTGTGACATCTAAACAGGGTCTTTAATAATTTTGTAATAATTGTTGTATTGAATGTCCATGTCAATTTATTTTTTATATGTAAAATTGTAAACTCTTAAATTGTCTGAAAGCTGAATTCTAACGTATTTTCAACAATATTGCACTATATAAAAGATATAAAACGCTGTGGTTAAATTGTCCCGGTAAAGAAATTATAATAATAATAATAATAATAATAATTTGAGGTTCTTATGTACGGCTTTATCACAACCTAGTTCGTAGGTCGTCTCAAAGCAGTTCACAAATTATTATCCGTGGTTATAGGGCCTTTGCAACCAGCCAATACCTTTCTCAACTCTCTGGGGAGCATACAGCCGGTGCTGCCATTTCGGCGCTCACAGCTAGCATTCTACAATTCTAGCAATGCCCAACCACATACAGCTGAGGAGACTGGAACAAGCGGAGTAAAGTATCTTGCTCAAAGATACAACACAGTGCCGTGCCATGACTCGAACCGGCAACCCTTTGGTCACGAGCCCGGCGTCCTACCACTAGACTACCATGCCTCCATAAACATTACATAAATACCAATTACACGAATGACTTAAGTGGTAAAAAAATACAACATAGCTTTAGACTTAGTTTTAGCTATCTTTATGTTACATATTTTACATGTATGCTTATCATTGTTATACTCATTACACTTTGAAAAGCTAAATGTCAAAAAAAGTCAAAGCTTATGAAGTGATATCAAAAGAATAAAAGAAAGAAACTGATAGCAATTTTCAAAACTTTGAACAGCTCACCATCAACATTTGTCAGCGTGAAAACTTGGTCCAGATCCACATTCAGACGTTTGCCAATTCTGTTTACAATGTCCTGATTATTTACGGGATAGACAGCCACATGATCTCCTGCCTCGTACCTTGATAACGGAGAGAACATTTCAAAATAATCAGGAAATATTTGCAAAAAGGTCAGAATGGGTTCTATACATTCAAGAATGAAAGCTTTATACATGTTCATGTATTAACATAAACATTAGATAATCAAGAAAACATTTGCACAGTGACATACATCTGATATATTATTATAGCACTTTGTACAAAGTATAATTAAGATGTACTGATGGACAGATGGACAGATCGATGGTAAATGCAAACACATATTCAGCACTCAGGTATGTAACTCTTAACCTATAATTTAACTACCAGTACCTGATTTTTGAGCCGGTGATATCAAATTCTATATGCATGCAGGAGCGGTCTCCACCCTTGTGTAACTCTCGGTTGACATTAACGGGAGCTAGGTACGGATTTTTGGCATCGTAGGGTCTGTAAAAATAAGTACAAAGACATATACATTAATGTAAACAGAAAGACTGTTAAAAATAAGAATTCAGTCTCTTCAAGGTTACCTAAAAATGCTCATTGAAAATAACATTTTTCACTTTTTAGTAAAAGTAAAATGGCTATATATAGAAAGCAAAGAAGATTTGTTGGAAATATATGTCTTTCTTTAATAACCTTCAGATAAAAAATAAGGAAATGCTACCTTCAGACTGTTTTTGATGAAGATTTAAAGTAACTTACGGTTTTTGATTTCTGAATGATCCAAGTCTTGCTATTTCTCCAGAATACGTTTTCTCCTTAAGCAAGTCATCATAGGTTGTTAGACTGTACTGTCGGATACTAGAAACAAACAACAAGTTATAAGGGTCTAGTCAATCAAAGCCTGAGTATCACTAATAGCAAGTTAGTGCAGCATATTTTCAGAAATATTAAAACTCAAAACTAAAACTATATGTACTGGGATTAAAACAAATCATCAGAATCCCCAAAAATTCAAAACTCCTAACTATTTTGAAAACAGAAATAATCTGATATCTCCAACTATTATGGTTTGGCTTCCAGTAAAATATTTTGACATTCTTATATCAATAAATATGTAGAGAATAATACATGCTTTTTTCCATATCACACCCAGTATCAACCCGAGACTGCAATATCAGCCCGAGGGCTGATATTGGTCGAGGGTTGATACTGGGTGTGATATGGAAGAAAGCATGTTTTATTCTGTTTTTTACATACTTACTAATAAAAACTACTATCTTATGATCTATTTTTCTTTTAAAATATTGAAAAACAAAAAAATCCAAAAGAGGTGTGATACGGGTCTTGCGAGCTGATACGGAGAAGGCTGATACGGGTTTTGGGGTGTGATACGGCGGGGGCTGATATGGGTTAGAGCAATTGTGTCGTATCGCATATATACAAAAAAAAAACGTATTTATTAGTAAGTATATAATAAACATCAATATCGACAAAATAACATAATTCTTTTCTTTTTCATCAGTGTCTAAAAAACTTACACTACGACATATTACACCGTTATCTTTCAAACACAAACTGCTGTACATTCTTTTTATATCAGTTTTTAGATTTCTTCAGATTAAATTTGTTCCGTCCCAATGAAAAAAATGCAAGTTGGCAAGACTAGCTAGCTCAGGAAGATAAATGGCAGCAAGGTATTACCTCCTCAATGATAAAATAAAATCACAAATTACTGTTAACAGACTGTGATATTTTTCAAAATACACTCACAACATTTTCACTCTTAAAGAGGAGCAAATCAATCAAATTATGTGTCTGTTTCTAACTTTTCCAGTGTGATTCCAGATAATTAAAATGGTTTCCAAAATTAAATTAAACACTTACTTGAATTGATCTCCAGTGGCTTCTACTCCGAAGTGTTCACATACAGCTGGCCAAAATTTCTCTTTCCAGGTCACAAAATCTTCTTCAATACTGAAAATAAATTTCCATTTTTTCTAGAGGGACTGTATGTATGTATCCCTCAGGGTCATTTATTTTGAAAATTTAAATTCTTCACAGTTGTTAAATATCTTCCTAGTTATCCATTAAAAGTAAAAAAAATAAACATCATTAACCCTTTCACCCCTATGTAACTTAAGTAGACTCGACCATGCATTGATCTAGATGAGTCCATTATGGTCTACAGTGGTAAAAAACAGTCAGAACAATGAAGAGATCTATAGCATTTATTATCCTGTTCAAACATATTTATTACTTTGTAAGAATTATTTTACAAGAATTCATTTCATATTCCACGAAACAAATTACTTACTTTCCATCATCGTCACCACTACCGAGTTCATATATTCTCTCTGCTCCCAACTCTTCAAGTTTCTTATCCATGAACTCTCCCATAGCATTAAAATGTTCATAGGTCTTGTTACCCAATCCAAAAATCTGTAACAGATCAAATTATATGCAGAGTTAACTTATTTTCATCAATGATATAAAATAAATTTACACCTCAGATAACTTATATTCAGGGCTGTGCAATTGCTCCAGCCCAATGCATGGAATTAGTAGTTGTTATATAATTTGTGATTTTTTTTCCATTGTTTACAATGAAAATAAATGCTTAGCTGGTATTATTTGTCAAAATCTGCCTGTGGTCTAAATACAATATGGTACACACTTGATGTTAAACCTGGCATAAAAATTTGTAAAATTTACCCAATTTCCTTTTTTTATTAGTTTAATTTGGTTAGTAATATGAGGGGAAATATCCATGGTTTACACCACATATTTTCTTGTTCAGAAAGTGAGTTACTTACAGCAAATTTAATTCCGGTGAGATCAGAGTCTGCGTTTTGTAACCAATCGTAAAACTCCTGAGCATTATCAGTGGGATCGCCTTCGCCGTATGTCGCCATGCAGAATATTGCCAGTGCATTGTCTATCTCTTTTAACTTCACAAGGTCTTCCTGCAGTAAAAAATGTGATGCATTTTTAGTGTCAAATTCTTATTGTGGTTATAATAACAATGATTTGGTCACTGGAGTTGAAACAAAAACAATACATTATGTGATTAAAACAGAAAATACATGTACATATTTCATAATAATAATAATAATATTAATTTCAGGTTCTTATATACCGCTTTATCACAACCTAGTTCGTAGGTTGTCTCAAAGTGGTTCACAAATTATTATCCATGGTTATAGGGCCTTTGCAACCAGCAAATATCTTTCTCAACTCCCTGGGGAGCATACAGCTGGTGCTGTCATTTTGGTGCTCACAACTAGCATTTAACAATTCTAGCTCAAAACTGAAAACATTGTCCGTTATTCTTAAAGAATCATTCAACAAGGTTTCTGAAAGTAAACTATGTACATCACAATGATGACTTTAATAACAATACTTTTTAACCTCCAATTCTTTTAGATGAACTTAGCTTGTCAATTAAAATAACAAGTATACATTGTGTTAATTATGTTAATAAAGCTACTTTTAACATTTGAAATATGTGGAAAAAAAATAACATGTTTTCTCATAGAGTCCATTGCACATGACTCAATGTTCACTAATTAAGCTCACCATTTCACATTCTTCGGGATCTGCCACCATGCCCTTCATTCCATAACAAGTGGCGTCTTTCGCTAAACGCCCAGCAAATTCCTCTGCTGTTCCTGTCTGGGACCCGTAAAACACTATCACATTCCTTCCCTGGAGAAAAAAATCATGGTTAGAATTGTATATAAAAATGTCAAGATTTTAAATTGATGGTCAAACATTAAGGCTTAGATTCATAAATAAGGTCTTGTTATATATGTATCAAGGCTTAGAACAAGAAATAAGCACTTGCAGTTTATGAAGGTTCTATATCATAAACAAGCTCTTGCTATAAAGGAAGGCTCATATTCAAATACATATGTAAAAGCTCTACGCAGGTATGATTGCTCAGAATCAGAAATAAAATAAATTCTTGCTGTCTAATAAGACTCAGATACATTGTATAAACCTTTGTTGTACATGATTACCTAGAGAGATATGCTCTTGCAGTATCTGAAGGCTCATGCATCAGATTCAGAAACTTCTTGCTGTTTAAGAATTTTCAGATTCATATGTAAGATGTTTAATGGAACAGGGAGTATAGATAATCCAGCATTATTCTTGATGCACATATATGCTTATACCATTTTTTTCCACCAGTGATCACAAGGTAACTTCAAAGATTAATTAACAGGGTACTGATCTGAGTTGATATATATCAACGAGTATTTTTGGTTGCAATGGTGACTAAAACATACAAACTTTGTGCCCCAAGACAGTACATTTACTGTGCCCCAAGACAGTACATTTACTGTGCCCAAGACAGTACATTTACTGTGCCCCAAGACAGTACATTTACTACCTGTTTAATGGCATACATCATTTTTTATAAACACTTTCCAGTCTGTTCAACTCAAAACTTCCTCTAAAAGCCTTTAAATCTTATAGTATTTTCATTTAACTATTTAAGAAATTACAACCTTCTGTTGTAAACAAATGTCAGTTACGTGATTACTATGTACACAATACACAACATACCTGGTGATCAGTAATATGTCAAGGTAAAATAGGATTCATAATTAAAGAAAGAGATTTGCTGTGAGCATAAATACCTCAGATATAATTTCGCAATATTAGAATGGGAAACTTACGGATGATTTCAACTTCTCTATAAATCCGGTGTTACTAGCTCTGTCCTGCATAGGCCTGAAAATGAAATGTTTAGGGTTTTTTTTACACCTGCAGAATTTGTCATCTTCTCATTCACCTAGGGGCAATATTAAATACAGTTGTATTGTATATTATTCAATTTTCATGATTACATTGGTTTTGTGATGCTGATTTAACTGACATTTGAGAAAATCTAAACTCATGAAAAGATTAATAACAGTTGCAACACTTACTGTCAAACTCTGAATAAATATTTGTATTTCTTTTTTATTTGCAGTTTGTCTGCAAGTTTATCTCCAGGCAAGATATATCAATAATTATGTCATGTGGCATAAGAGCTTTCTGTGTTCTTGCTTTTTTTGGTTTCCTGAACAGTCCAGTTTCTTAATACAGTGAATCGTCCCATAACCCTGTGAATTCGGTCTATTGTGGCCACTTATATCCAAGATATGACTTCAAATTTCACACTTGTGATGGACATACATACATTGTTTATCTAATTTAACTAGAAAACTTTTTTTTCCCAGACACCAACTTGTACAGGCTTTGTTCCACTGCACACATTTACAGATATCAATTAGTTTATATACTTACTGGACAGTTAGCTTTTTAAATGTTGGTTCCTCTTGTTTTTTATTCTTGAAGAAGAAGTAGTATACACAAACGCCAGCCAGGGCTGACAGTATGAAGAAATCAAGGGTTGAGAACATTCCCTCCTCCGCTGCGACTGCTCCTGCAGTCTCCATAGGGATCTCCGAATCTGGTACACCATTACTCATGTTTGTAGTTGATTATTCAGAACTGAAAAAAAATATCCAGATTATCACTATAAGGACAATGATCTGAAATTAAGGCAGCACTCAGGATAAATCCAGGTCAACACGAATGTTCTTCAAACAATCAATCTTAGCTATTTATTATATAGCTTAAAATCTTTGTGCCACAAAGACAAGGTAGTTATTTTTTCACATTACAATGCATATATTAAAATATTTTCCACTTACAAATGACTGAAAAATATTTGAGAATTAATAAAATGGTTTAATTTACATATAGGGTAATACAACAATGTACTCAATAGAAAAGTTCACACTGGTCTTCATTTGCCCTCAAATTAAACCAAATCTAACGAGTATTTGGACATCTATAGTTAAATCTCAACAAACCTACCAATTAAAATGTCTTCATCAGAGGGAAAAAATAGTTTTTATTAAATCGACAGGCTATATGGAGAGACACATTTATGGTATTTTCACTGAAGTGCTTCTTGCATAACATTTCCTGCCCCCCCCCCCAGCAAACAAATATTTCCTGTCTAATTTTGTTCCTGTAAAGTATATTAAATGTATACCTAATTAGAATACTATTATACTTACAAATATGGAAGATGAATTCCATTATTTATAAATCTACCAAGGAAATTTAAAGACCCTGGAGTATTGCTGTGGTTTTTTTTTATAAATATTCGTTGAAAAAAATCTTGAATTTTTCATTTTTGAATGTCTCAATATATGTACCGGTATGTAAACGTGTTAGGAAAAGGAAATAATTGAAGCTGACAAATTAAATAACCCATTAGTTATATCTATAACATATATCAATAGCCTCAATTTAATAAAATAATTCAATTCTATATATATTCATGATCATAATGCATCGTGTGTATCAGGTAGTGATGATGCATGCGCCGTAATTAAGCCTGCATGAAGTTTTAATAAGACGCTGCATGTTAACTTGAGCATGGATTTATGTCTTTTACAGTTAGGCAGGAAACTATAGGAAATATTTCTAGTGATTGGATGAATTTAATCCATGCATATATAATCAATATCCACACGTTTAAAAGTATACCCAAAATGGATATGTGTCACTGTCACAGCTAGAGGGCAAAGTATCATGATCTTATCTCTTATGAGTCATCCTGCATTGTGCAATACTGAAATTATAATCATTCATCATTTCATGGACTAACATCATTTTCTTAAACTAGCTACCATAATATATTAAACCTTATATCCCCTCCTCATTTAGCCTTTGTTTGGTCATCCTATCCCTTCATCATAATTTATCATCTGAAAACAAATGTCTAATATGTCAATTTTAAAGTAATTTTGAAGTGTCCTATACCTGGTATTACTTTTATTTCCCCAAACTACTATCACTATATATATATATGTGCCTAGCACACTAATTAGGTCAATTACAGACAGTGCTGGAAAATTTAAAAAGCATTTTCTACCCAGAAACAGGAACTGTTGTCAATTAACGCACCTAATATAATGATCCACTAAACACAATACACGAGGGTACATATATATTACACCTTTATACAGTTAGGAGTGGCCTGTAGGTGTCTACGTATGTGCCTTGCTATGTTTACTTAGTCAATACCGCTATCTCTCAGGCATATACGGCCTCGAGGGGTATACCTATGTTGAAGAAGCTTACTTATCATAGACTTAAGGGGTTGAGACTGTTAAAGACTAAAGAGTCATCAAAACTGATGCTAGAATTTTACCTATCAAACAAAGACATTACATAACAATACACAAATACAATAGTCAAATTCAGAACATCTTGATTAGCAAACAGGTGATTGAGATAGCAATATAAAACATCTTTTTTTTTAACTTGCATTAATATCATATTCATATCGATTTGTGAGCATATATATATATACAGAATTTGTATATATACAGTACATGTGTATCAAGCATTACAGCCATAATAATAATACAGTACTAGAGATAATCCTGTATCATAGAAAAATGTAAATATGACAGGTCCTGAGGCTGTCCTGAATTCGAACCTGGGACCTTCTAATAAATTTATGACAGACGCTCTATCGATTGGGCTAACTGGTCCACAACGATGGACCCAGTCAAGTTCCACTACATAATACAACCTTTGTTTCTGGGGAGCAGCAGTCGTAGTGACACATATGTCATACAAAACAATAAACAACAGAGAAGATACAACCAAACTACAACAGGACATAGATATAGACACAACAGGAAAATGGGAGCAAGACTGGCTCATGCAAGTTCATCATTATCTCAACATCAACAAACGCACAAAAATTAAAAGTTATTACAAAGTCCACAACCACATATTACAACAAGAATATTTCTCCAGTAAATACCTAGGTTTAATACTACAGAGCAATCTTAAATGGGGCACTCACATTAAAAACATCAATACAGTATGGGAGGATTGGTCGAGTGGTTAACACTTCGGTCTTCCACGCAGGCGTCCGCGGGGGGGGGGGTGTTCGATCCCCGAAATCATCGCACGCATGGAATATCAGAGAAAGTGTTTTTCTCCTACCCACGCAACTCAAACAACCCAGGTGGAGTTTAAAATGGTCTGGGGTGGATGTTGCATTCAAGTGAGGTGGCACTATAAAAGATGCCTTTGGAAGCACGGTATTACTACAAACAGAACACAATACATCTCCAGTACACACGCAGGCATACACACATAGGGAGATATTAGCCAGGTGGTATGGGACTAGTAGCTTGTAGCACCTGATAAGGCAGCTCTCGCAAATTCCTCAAAAAGTGTATATCCTAATTGTATTAATTGTATTTGTATGTACTGTAAAGCGCTTTAGATTGGCTTACGTTAGCTAGATAGGGTGCTATATCAAATGTTGTATATTATTATTATAATTTATACAGAACAATCTCGGATTGCACAGTACACCGACATCAACAAAATCACTTTCAATCATACAAATCACTAGGATTCTTAAATTGCAACCTGAAACCACACACAACATATAGAAGAACATGCATACAAAACAATAGTTAAGACTCAGACTGGAATACTGCTCTTCTGTATGGAACCCATACAACACATTCTAAATCAACCAGATAGAGAAAAATACAAGCACAATATGTACGCACACAACAACTACCACAATACAAGCTCTGTACAACACATGATGGATACTCTAGGCCACCATCACATTAGATTTCCTATTAAATCATGTAGCAATAGACTGGAATAGACCCCCAACATCCTCATACTAACAGACCCAAAAAACATGACATGTACACCCTTACACTAACATATTTCTGCAACAAAAGACACATACAAATTAATACTCATTGCACACACCAATGACCATGTACCAGCAGCAGCAGTAGAATGTGCAACACTAAATGACTTCAAGGCTCGTATCCCCTGCACTCCTGCACAATAAACACATACACAGTTTTTACTCCACTTACAAAACAACTGTACAAATCTTTACACTATTGAGTCCTCCCAATAAGCACTGTCATAAAATTTACTGTGCCATTAAGGTTTAAGAAGNCCCATACACACACATCAGTTGGGCCAGACTGTTGCAAATTCATGTATTCACTGTTCAATCCCAGAGACGTATAACAAACCTTACTGTTTCCAATCTTATTAAAATGCTCATAAACACTGTATGTGATTAAAGTAACATCTGTATTTTAATCAGATTGTAGTGTTTTAGTGTCATAATGATGAAATACCATGCCGATAACTTGAGCCTCACATCTGCGACAATACACTAGAGGTGGTAAGCAGATTATTGAAAGAAGAAGCATGGTACAATCACAAAAGCCTGAATTTCTGTCAAAAACTAATAATAACAGTATTACAAAAAAATACTATTTTTGACAGAATTTCAGGCTCCTGCATACAATGAAGCAGAATTAAAGTAGACATTTTGTCAGCTAACATCACGCCCTTTAATTTAGGCTTCCGTCTAAAGGCACAAGCCTCACCTGTCAATACGATTACCGTCAATACACCCACAATATTATATATTAGGTGTTAAACGACGAAGCAAACTCTCTCTCTGCCAATCGACGGGGGTCATAAACGAGGACGTCCGTTTTTAAACTCTGATGAACACATGTCATTTAAAAAATTAGACATGATGCACGATCAATGTATTACGTTTTCACTTATTTGCCAAATTATTCACAGATAACAACCATCATAACTTATAAATTAGTAACAGAATCAGAACAGGCAAATAAAGTTCCTACGTGACAAAAACGTTATATAAACACCATGAGAAAAACGTCACATCAAATTTTAGCGATTTCACGTTATTTCTTCGCGATCATTTACTCCCAACATATTACCGAAACAGATTACAGCGAAAACAACGAACATGCAAGAGGAGTTTGTTCTTACCCATATATTTCGCATGTAAGAGAGTTGTCAGTGGTTGTTCAATAGCCCTGGCCGACAACTGACGATTCGCTGACCTGAGTCTGTCGAGTGAGAACAGTGACACTAGCTTGTTCCCGTGACGTATAAAGGCCAGGGAGTGTTCATTTTTTCAGTCGACCGCTGTAATGTACTGTTATGATGTAATATTATAATACATTTTGTCATACTATTTGACGTAATATTTATTTTAAATCATTATATACGCTATCTCACTCCTTTTGATTGCTGATATGTTGGCAAATATAAGGATTATCTCCATGGAAAGTTGCACTTAAAATATATATATATCAATTAACATACTTATATGAAAACATATCAAGGGCTTTTATAGGTTTCTCTATAAAACACTGTTTTTTAAATAATTTTTAGATATGATATATACTTTTCATAATTAATTTTTGACCGGTTTATTAGTACAGACACGGAATTAGATTTGTTATCTAAGTCCGTGGTACCAGGGACGTATACTGTCCCTGGTGGTACAGAGACGTACACATACAGATAAATTGGTCTGTGGAACTCTTTCGAAAGGAAACCATAAATAACTAAAGCAAGGTGTTTCCTTAACACATTTTTTTTTTTTTTTTAATATTAAAGCCTTTTTTTTTGCATTCCATGTGGTACACATGTTTTATCATTATATTACTGATGCTGAATAGTATTTCAGAATTTACATTTTATCAGTGATAAAATGTTGGTCATCAGAAAAAATGACACCGAGTTGGATCAATCTGATTAAAATCATCTGTTAGGCTCTGTTAACTTCGTACTACTCGTTCAGGAGAATAATCTTCGTTGCATGTAAACTCTAGCTTATGATTTTGATAACTGACTCGCATCATCATGGCTAGCTTTCCGATAATAAAACATTATCGGAAATCCGGATAACCATGCGTCCTGTTCATCTCTGTAATCTTAGTACATACAGACTGTTATTACACTATTGGCTGGTTGGTAAGTATGATATGAAAATGTAAATTGGTTCACTCGTGGTTTTTATATAAATGATAGACGTCATGTCTAGAACTTGAGCAATATACATGTAACGTTACATGTACAATTCAAAATCTCCCCCATGGAAAGTTCAAAAAACAAAAAGCGGAATAACCATATCTGATCATCGATCGTTCTGGCCTTTAAATATATACAAGCGTAATCTAAATTTAAATTCAAATATTTAAAACACTTAGCGTCTATATGTATATTACTTATAGCTTTGCTTGAGTAGATCAGGGCGCAGAATTTTCAATAGGTGACAGGTTCAATCACTGCTAAACGACATTTTCCAATATTTAAAAAAATGGTAATTATGCAAGCTAAAAACTTGTAATTTTGCATGTAATTTCATTCTACTGAAAATGTGTTATCTGATAGTTTTAACTCAGTGATTGGTTGATTTTAGATACACAAAAAAAATCCACTAATCACTAATTAAGCTAATCATCTTTTGAACAACTGGGCCCTGAATTGTCTCTGCAGAGACGTATCAAGCCAAAATACACGTCTCTGGCCATTGTACGCAAACAAGAAGTTGCTTGCATGCATATCAAATATCTTCAAGTGTACTAAATAATAAGCAGGCCCCTTTTCATTGTGTGTTGTCCGATAAGATGATTAAATGTTATTAAGGGTAAAAATATTAAACTTGGCTGTTTCTGTTCTATATAAAAATAAAACACACACATAAGCTTTCATAACGATTCTTCTGGTGACATCACTGCCGTGTTTATATCATGAAAACAAACGATGACTGCAAACAGGGACGTACATATGTCTCTACTGTACATTTGACGTAATCTTAGCGGATATATAACGTGGGTTTTTATACGTCTCTGTTCATTACCCTTAAAATAAAATATGTTATGAAAACGTTGTTATTTTCAGAATATTCGGATGAAAACCCCTGGTTCTGTTGACAAAATATAAACATGTTTAAATTGAAATTGTGACAGGTGTAACACTTAATTGACTGAACATTTTATTTCAGGTTATCAACGACTCGTTTTCTCATATGGAATGGATATCCGTTCTATACCTTATATTATGAAACGGACTTAAAACAGCATATCTATATAAATCCTTGATTATACCACGGAATTAGATTGTTATCTAAGTCCGTGTTTATACCTACGTTCTTAATCTATATAAATGTGATGTTACTGCTCAAGGGGAACAATCCTAGCCATTCTTTTCATTCGGATTTTTTCATCGCCATATCTGAGGAAAGCTTAGATTGACATTACATCCAACGTCACAATTATGACGTTAAATTAATGATGACGTCAAAAATGAACATGAAATGACGACGTAGACATTCATTTTTTTTTTGTAATGGTTTTATTTTTCCAAGATTTTCACTACATATCCATATACACATAAACAGGACATTCACGCATTCTCACATATACACACACGGACATGGATTTAGCATTATCACAATCATTTTCATTGTTATCATCATCGTCATCATCATCATCATCATCATCATCATCATCACCATCATCATCATCATCATCATCATCATCATCATCATCATCATTCGTCATCATATTTCATCATTCATCATTCATCTTTATCATCGTCATCATCTTTCATATATAATTATTCAATCATCATCATTGCCATCATCATCATCATCATCATCATTATCATTGTCATACAATCAATATCATCATCATACAATCATCATTCCATATGTATCTTCATCAACATAACATCATCATACAATCATTATCATCATCATAATCAGTGTCATCATCATCATCATCATCATCATCCATTATCATCAATCATCATTTTATATGTATCATCATCAACATATAATTATCATCATCATTATATCATCATCATCATACAATCATCATTTTCAATCATAATCTTCAATTATCATTCTATATGTATCTTCATCAACATATTATTATCATCATCATATCATCATCATCATCCTCATCATTAATTCATAATGATATCATCATCATTCTAGATTTACAAACCATTTTACGCACATTTCAAATCACTCACTTAGTTGTTGTATACATCAATTCACATGTACATACACAGCTTCAAAGCGAGTTATTCCATGTCCTGAATCAAATTTCCAATACAAAATATTGGAGAGAGCGAGACTGTTAATAATAGCCTATGCCAAGCCCCAAAAACATTTTTCCAGAAATTATTATTACATGTATTTTGACACTCTTTTATATAATCCTCTCCAATATTAAGTCGCTTATATAACCAATTTTATTGAAATAGTATTCCAATTTCCTGAGAACTGATATTTTTTTTATCCAACTTGGTTTCAAAGAATCAACAAAGTTTTTAGTATGAAGCAGCTTTAAACCACCAACCATATAATCTTGAACAATAACCTCTCTTATAACTTTATCAGTTTTGCTATGCCATAAATATTCATGAAGTAGAATATTTATTTTTGTGAAAGTTTTTTCATCTGGGTTAGGAAGTGAAATAAATAGATGGTTTAATTGCGATACCATTAAGGATTTTGTTAAGTGAATTTTCCCAATCGGAGAGTTAATTTTCGCGGTATTAATAAGACTTTTCAGTTTCACTATTTTTTTGTCAAAGTTTATCTTATGCATTTCTTGCAGATTGACACTAAAATCAATTCCTAACAAAGTAAATTTCTCTTTCCCCCATTGTCACTGTAATTCAGGTAAAAATGTTTCCTGACTGTATCGGCATAGACATTCATAGTAGATGACGTCACAATGTGAGCAATCTTGTTAGATTTGCAATATAGAACATCTTATTGATTCTAGAATAGTCCGAGTCTTTCTAGAATTAGTCCGAATTATTCTGACGTTTTATCAACTTTTTTCATATCGGTCGATCTGTCCTTAATCGACGATAGACCGATATGAAAAAAGTCGATAAAACGTCAGAATAATTCGGACTAATTCTAGAAAGACTCGCAAAAATAATGAATTTTCCTATTCGTTTTACAAATATCATTTGGAATAGAAACTACGCGTCCACGTTTTGTCTGCACTGCCAAACTAAGTACCCAAACAACGACCGAGTATCACTCTAATAATAATAATAAAAACATTACTGGTCCCCAATGATCACATCTCGCACACTTCCGGTTGAAGTGCGAGATTTCGGCATTCCGATTCAACATGTCTGCCATCAAATCACTGAATCCCAAAGCAGAAGTTGCAAGAGCCGCCCAGGCCTTAGCAGTGAACATTAGCGCTGCTAAAGGTCTCCAAGATGTGCTTAAAACGAATCTCGGTCCAAAAGGCACACTCAAAATGTAAGTATATTCCTGTAGAAAATGTAATTTCTATTTTTTTGACGGGCTTTCCCAGAACTTTCTGGAACACGTGGGATTCACGCTTTCTCTCTAACAACATGTCGGGACAGAACTGTTGTGAAAGAGTTTTGCAGAGTTGCTATGGGGTATCTTTTTACTGTGGCATAATGAAATATGAAATTTGCCTACATGTTTTTCTAAAAAAAAATCCGTGTCTTGTTTTTTTCCTTCAACATTTGCTACTGTACAGTGTACTGTATCTAGACTGTTGTCAGATGCCTAGAAACGGACTGAAACAGTGAAATGGGGCTTAGACGACATTGAGGTCGAGCAATTTGATATGAAATATAAAAAGAGAGGAATGTGTATCAATACTTTGTTTTTACCATTTTTAAAACTTTTTATTATTTTTGAATAACTGAATTGACAGCCATGTTGGAAACTTGGTCTCTCTTCCGAAACAGGTCTATATATGCAGGTTGGGGAAAACCACCAACTTGCGTATAATACGCTAACTCGCCTATTATGCGCCTGTTGGAGTATGGATTTGTTACTGAAAATAACCTAAATCGTTGTAACAGTAACTTTTGCAATCTATTATTAAAAATCGCATTAATTTACGACAAGGTAAATAATATTTTGCTAAAAGATGTTTATTGAAAGCATTGACTACTTAGAAACTTGATGTAACTTTACCGGAAGTATTGCATCTATTTTTGGTACTTTCCCATGTTTCATGACTGAATAAAAGCGACTTGGATAAACAATTTGAAAAAGTGAAGATTAAAGTGATTTTGGCTATTTTAAGTAACAAATCTATACCCCTATTGGCATATAATAGGCGAGTTTGCGTATTATATGCAAGTTAGTGTTTTTTCCCGACCTGATATGGGTGTCATGATCAGGCCCTATAACCACGGATAATAATTTGTGAACCGCTTTGAGACAAACTAGGCCTAGGTTGTGATAAAGCGGTACATAGGAACCTCGAATTATTATTATGGCGGTCGTTTCTATTTTTTTCCCAAGATAGACTTGGCTAATTTCGTTCAAGAGTTATTCTATTAGTAACTAAGGATTCGTTATTTTAACAATTATGCAATATTTTGATGACATTAATGATTATACTCATATGAGGCCTGAATGATATGTAATCCTACAGACAAGCACTTTTGACTTTGCTCCATTAGTTGGTATAGGACCGCTTCTTGGCTCTAACAAAGCGATATATGTATATAAAACAAAATGTCTTGCGGTCAGAAGCTACGTTATCGCAGCAAGGTTCAACCCTGCAGGAAGCAACTTCTGGAATATTTCATGAAAAGTGATAGTATTAAGATATTTTTTTTAAAATTGTATGATAAGCATTTTATGGGGCAGTTATTTTCAGGCAAGTGGATTTCTAATTCTAAGGGTTACTTGCCCTTATACTATGGTCCTTACCAGATACTACAGCAGACTTAGCATGTGTTCAATTTGTGTCAAAATTGATTACTTACGCCCCGCAAACCGAACAACAAAATTGTAATAAATGTGGGAAAACTCGGACTGACCTTATTCACCATTACGTAACTCAGTGTGACGTCACTCACCCAACAAGAGACATTTTCACAACGGAATTACTAGAAATATGTGGCATAGAAACATTCCTGACTATGGACAATATAACAGAAGAAAAATTTGTACAAATTTTATTTGGACGTAAACACCCGGACATAGAGGACGACAAACTGTTTCGGATGATGGCAGCTCGGTTCTTGAGAGCTGCGTCACATAGTTACCTATCAATAGAAGACAGGATGTAAAACGTACATCTTGACTCGATGAATCTTTAACCAAAACCAGAGACTTTGCTCAATATCTATTTTTTCTCTCTTATCTTTTTGCAATTATTTGTATCTCTTTAAAGAGGAATTAAAGAATGAATGAATGAAAATGAATGGGAGAGTGCTTTGAATTTTTTTTTTTACAATGTGGTATATGAATTGCCCTGAATTACTGACTCTTCAGCACGCTGAGCCACACAGGTCGTAATAGGTCTAATTGAATGTGCACTGATATTACATCATGTAATTTAGATACAGCTGTATTGAACAGTGCAGTTTCCAAGATCATAGCAGCATGGAGAGCCTCAGAGGGCTGAATGTTAGTTCTCAACAGTTTAAACATAATTATTGACCAGAAATAACGGTTTAAACATAATTATTGACCAGAAATACATGTATTACTTTACGATTCTTGGAAAATTGAAAACAAAACTGAATTCCGTGTGGTTGTATGTCACTGGGGCCACTAAATCAGTTAAATAGATGTGATTACCTTATTGATTAAATGGGTTAAATAGATGTGATAACCTTATTAATTAAATGGGTTAAATAGATGTGATAACCTTATTAATTAAATCAGTTAAATAGATATGATAACCTTATTAATTAAATCGGTTAAATAGATGTGATAACCTTATTGATTTAGATAATATTTTCAACAAATGGAATGTGAATAAACAATGATATATGTTTATAGGTTTTTCTTCACAAACAAGCTTCAAATACAAAATGCAATTGAACAGTCGAACAATGCTGCAGTCAGAATTTTTATTTAGGGTAAATTTTTTACAATTATTATGTAATTAGATAAGTATAAATCTGTAGTATTATAACTTTAATTTAAGCTTTTAATTAAACTTACCTTTAGATAAAAAATTATATTTTCTTGTTAAGTAAAATTGCCCAGCATTTGTACAAAAAAGGCCCCCATATATATTTGGGTAAAGGGGCCAACATGTCCCCATAATCAGCAAGGCAAGAATAATTACTGGTTTGTCAAGAATTTTTAAAAAACAAATGTCCATTTTTACTCTACAACATTAACTGAAACTGTTAACTAGTCCACAAAAACTAGAGTTCGGTGAGAAGTAACGTTAATACATGTACAAATAATAGTTGCATAATGAAAAGTTTATAATATGTTCACAAATTAATGTACACACCTTAATTTTTCAGGTTGGTATCTGGGTCTGGTGATATCAAACTAACCAAGGATGGAAATGTTCTTCTCCATGAAATGGTAAACTGTCACAAGAACTTGTCATTAATTGATAAGAATATGGAAAAGTGAATACCTACCTGCCATGTTGTACATCCTGCATTTGTGGATGTCAGTCTGTAAAACACTTGGATGAGCTATAGCAGATAGTAGAATTGTTTTGGAATATCCTGCATTTGCACTGAATATTCCAATATTGCAGGTGTTTAAAAGTCACATTTAAAGCTTTGAATGCTAACATGCTTTTGTGGAAAGACCAATTTATATTTAAGTCATCATTAGTATAAGTATTTTGATGAAAAGTTTTCATACTGATGAAATAGCAATAAGCAGACACAATCTGCATTTTAATGGCATCTATGGCCTTTATTTCATTGTTGAGTACTTTGCAGGTAAACATAGACATAGCAGCATTATGATTTCACATCTTACATCAATTTTCTGATTCAGAAAAGTCAAATAATGCATTTGGTAGAGACAATAATGACTTAGTTCTTTGTGGACTTAAATGGGTGAAACAGATAGCCAACTTATGATTATTGATCAAATGATTTATATCCAATTTTGGTAGTTAACTCTAAAATACATTTTAAATCAGTTAATTTAATACATTCATGAACACTTGGGAACACCATTTTCCTTTGAACAACTTATTATTAATTATTAAGAAAAGGTCAAGCTACTTATGACGGAGGGTATGTAATTCTATTGTTTACAGTACAAAACCCATAGATTTCATAAATTTTTAAATCCAGTCAATATTTACATCATAAATGTTGAAAATGTTCACTCATCAGGACATCAGATACAGTACAACTTGGCATCAGACTGCTGGAGTTGTTAACCCCTCATTAGAGCTGTCACGATACATTTTACCCACAATTCCATATGTATCTCAATATTTGTTCCACGATTCGATTATTTCGATTCGATAAACCTCTATTTCAAAATATAAACAAAATGCAGATAAATAAGCCGTCGATACACAGAAACCCGCAGTGTTTCCACACTTTTGATTTAAAGCTTGCCGGAGCATCACAAATTTTCATTTCCTTATGGTAGTCTGCCAATTTGTTATGAATGCTTTGTGAAAATTGCATCCTCGCAGCTGATTGGTTGAGGGTTTAGAGATCAGCTAATGAAATTGAACGTCAAACAGACGTTTCGGCTGAAGCGGCATACACTAATATTCAGATCGTGACGCATCGAAAATCGGAAAAATATATATCGTGAATCAAATTGAACATAAATAATCGCGGTACAAGTGCATCGCGGTGAATCGTGACACCTATACCCCTCATAAATCTTTATGTTTGTCTGAATAATAGTCACACAGTTTTGATAAAGATGTTTATCCAGGGAAAATCCTGGAATTGGAGAGCAGTGGGCCATTTTTAGCAATTTTTAGTCAATATCAAAACTAAGAGGGGCCATTCTAGGAAAAATAAAATTAGAAAATGGAGGGATCATTTTCAGTTACGAGGGATCAATGGCCCCATGACCCCCTCCAGGATTATCCCTGCTTATCAACATTGTGCTAACTCATATTTTTTTTATTCTTTTATAGCAAATTCAGCATCCAACAGCCTCCTTGATCGCTAGAGTGGCTACCGCACAGGATGACATCACTGGCGATGGAACGACATCCAACGTACTGATCATTGGAGAACTATTGAAACAGGCAGATCTCTATGTCTCTGAGGTATTTTATAGTTCAGTGTTCAAAACTAACATTAATCCAAAATTTCAAAATATCATCACAAGTTTTCAGTTAAAGCTGTATATTTGCTCATTTTCGATACTTTGCAAAAAATAAAGAAGCTAAAATTTATTAAGCCAGTCTATTTAAAAACATTGAAAGAAAAAAGGTTATTTCAAACAAATTTCATCAAGTATGATTCATTTGTATATTGATTCATTCATTTGAAAAGTTTTCCTTTAATTTTTCTAGGGACTTCACCCTAGAATAATTGCAGAGGGGTTTGAAATGGCAAGAAACAGGGCTCTGCAGGTTTGTATAAAGAACATTTTTTTGACTTATTAAAGCCTCATGATAATTGATGTTTAAATTTCCATTGAAAACAGTTCATCATAATTTTACTATTTTCAAATACCTGTGGTAACAGTATCAAACTATTCAATGTAAAACACAGTCAGGTATCCGTTCTAGTTACATCAGGAGTGTGAACTTAATCATGTGGTGGTTTCAGGTCCTGGATGAAGTAAAGATCAAACGTGAAGTAGATCGTGATACACTGATCCAGGTGGCACGGACTTCACTTCGCACAAAGGTGTACAACGACCTTGCCGATCTTCTCACCGAGGTATAGTTCAGTTATTTAAAAAAATGCTCTATAAATTAAGAGATCGGTTTGAATACTATTCCATTACTAAGTTGATACAGATTTCACATTATTTTCCTTTGAAGTCACCAGGGCTTTGTGCAGTGCAGTGCGGGTGCTTGGGGTCATAAAAGCAATTTTATAACATCAGAACTTCAATCCATTTAGCTACCTTGTATTCAAATCATTCTGGATAGGTATAAAGTTGAAACAACTGCTAAGTACAGTGTTACTGTAATTACAGCATGTGGTGGACGCTGTTTTGGCCATCCAGAAACCCAAACAAGCCATCGACTTACACATGGTAGAGATTATGGAGATGCAACACAAGACGGACATGGACACGACGTAAGTCTACTTAAAGATCGTTCTTATATTGTTACATTTATATACTATTAAGTCAGAAGGCTTCCCTACTTCCTTGAAATTCCAGGCGCTATGTTCACTTATCTTCTCTGCACCCCTGGAATATGTCATGACAAAACCAAAGGTACGTAAGTTATCTATGCGATTGGTTTAAGGTAAAAAAATAAAAGACCTATCAGCTATCGCAAAGCTGGTACAGGTACATGTCCTCTAAAGATGACAGGAGCGACACCTGACTTCAATGCCAGTCAATTTTACCATTATGCTGCCCCAGGATTGTCATGATGTACAACAAAGAATCCAACTAGTCTACTTGTATCACCCACAAGGTGGCATCTACACCTAGCCTTTGATTTCTTTACAATTTATGCAAGAGGTGAAGAGAACATAAGTGAGCATAACCCCTGGATTTTGAGTATAGACTGCCTGTTGTAAACATTCTATGTAAAGTATAAAAAGATGAATGAGATTTTCTCACAAGATTTAACTATGAACATGTATAGATCTATTTAAAAGGCTTTCTGTTGTAAACCTTTTATAAAAAAAAAGGGTGGGGGGGATAAGATTTCCTATTTTGTAATTACTTTACCAAGGTTTAAATTATCTAGCCATCTGCTTTCTATTTTGAATTCTTAAAAAAGGTAGGAAGAATGGACAAGTTTTCCTAATTTGTAATGACTAGACTTGATCAAAGTGTATTAAATCTACGCAGGATCGTCTATTTTGAATTTTAAGTAAATAGAAGGAAGAATGAATAGCATTTTCCGAGGTGAAGTGACAGGATGCTTAATAAAAAGTTTCAAATCCTCAGAAAGGAGAAGAAGCAAAAAATTCAGTGTAAGACTTAGATTTTCACACAGTTTAAAATAATGTTTTATTTCCAATCCAATTTATTTACTTGGATATTAAAGTAAGTCTAATACAGAAATTTTAAGAATGGATGGTATTGACTTTCAGTTTGGTACGGGGTATTGTGATGGACCATGGTGCCCGTCATCCAGACATGAAGAAGCGTTCAGAGGACTGCTTTATTCTCACATGTAATGTCTCGCTGGAGTATGAAAAAACGTAAGTAATGAAGGAACGGAAATAAAAATATCCCAGTATGTACTGTAGACATGAGTTTGACTCTGCATCAGAGCCACTTGATCAGGGTCATAAAAATAGTTTGTAGAGATATTTCTTCTTGAGGTAGCACTTGAAAAAAACGACCACGTTAGACTTAACTATGAAATAAAATTGGAATAAGAATAGACTCAGTTTGACATTTTAAACATTTCAACGTTTTCGGCGGTTGGGAGGGGATCACTTTATTGAAAGTTTAAGACCAACAGTTATATGATGTAACCTCTTTCTTCAGTGAAGTTAACTCAGCATTCTACTACAAGACCGCTGCAGAGCGTGAGAAATTGGTACAAGCTGAGAGGGAGTTTATAGATCAGAGGGTCAGAAAGATTATTGCTCTGAAAAAAAAGGTCTGCGCAGCAAATGACTCTGGATTCATCGTAATCAACCAGAAGGTTAGTACATTTGCTTTTAGAGCAAGACAAAAAATAACAATGTTAGCAAAATTCCATTGTCTACTTTTCAAATTTATTTGATTCCAATGAAAATGTTGTTATGTTTTACCATAGCCCAACTACAGCTTTAATTTTACTATTATTATGTCAAGTTATAGACAGGAAAAAATGTAAAGCAACTAGTTTATAACGTATGAATCGGCGATTCTATATTGCCATTGTTGTTTTCAGGGTATTGATCCCATGTCTCTTGACATGTTGGCTAAAGAAGGAATCGTGGGACTAAGGAGAGCTAAGAGGAGGAACATGGAACGGTAAGATTTCTTACAAAAGATGATGTTAAATCTCACAGGGAATTAAAGAGAACGATGATATTATCTGAAAGGAAAGATGAATAGAATTTTCCACTATCATGAGGGTATGACAGAGACATACTGACTCCAGGAGTGATATTCCTGACCCAAAGCTGGCTTCCAAGGTGAAGGTTTGACATTTAAGAATCTTACCCTCGGGATAGAGATTTCTCTGGCATATCTCATCATAAAGGGATTATTTATTTGCTCCAATTGTATCAATAATATGTTTAAAAAAATGTTTATCAGCATTTGAAGTCTGTTATCGCCCATGGAAAGCTGATTGCTGTCACATTTATGACATCTATAGGGATGACAGAAAATTTTAGGACGACAAGAGTTTTGTGGGGGGTGAGGGGGGGGATCTCAAATTCATTCCAAGCCAGTCAATGAAATTTTGCAGGGACCTTCCATGGACTAATGTCAACAAAAATAGTGGTCGGTTTAGTCCCAAGCCCCCAGGGGCCTGAGGGGCAGGGCCAAAAAGGGTCAAATTGACTAAAATTTCAAAAATCTTCTTCTCCAAAACCCCTTAACCATTTTCAATGAAATTTGCAGGGACCTTCAGGGACCTTCCATGGACATAGGTCAACAAAAATAGTGGCCGGTTTTGTACCAAGCCCCCAGGGGCCTGAGGGGCAGGGCCAAAAATGGTCAAATTGACTAAAATTTCAAAAATCTGCTTCTCAAGACCCAGATATGGTAGAATCAAGTCCTCTTCATAGATGGAAGGGCCTTAAGGTGCTTTACCAAAATTGTGAATTTCTTGACCCTGGGGTCTCGTGTTTCCCTCTGGGGAGGGAGTAAACTTTACTATAGTTTATATAGGGAAATCACATTTTGGACCAGCATTTGTTTAATTTCCATTGGAAGTAATTCAATTTTGGGTAGCATTATCAGTATTAGGTAGCAGTTTGATAGTATGCACATATGAGCCCTGACTGAACCCCATGGGCTGATGGGTGGGGCCAAAAAGGGTCGAATTTACTGAATTTTCAAAAATCTTCTTCTCCAAACCCCCTTAACCATTTTCAATGAAATTTGCAGGGACCTTCAGGGACCTTCCATGGACTAATGTCAACAAAGATAGTTGCCGGTTTAGTCCCAAGCGCCCAGGGGCCTGAGGGGCAGGGCCAAAAAGGGTCAAATTGACTAAAATTTCAAAAATCTTTTCTCAAGACCCAGGTATCATAGAATCAAATTCTCTTCATATATGGAAGGGTCTTAAGGTTTATGACTAGGGTCGCACGTTTACCCCCTGGGGAAGGAGGGGGGCAAAATTTATTATGGTTTATAATGGCAAATGATACTTTGAATAATACATGTTAATAACTTGATTGGAATTATAACCTTGAGTTGACAGTTTGACCCCAAGGGCTGTAGGGTGGGACCCAAAGGAGTCAGTGTGCTAACATTTCTTCATTTTCCTTGTTTAGAATCAAAGGTGCTAGTTTCAAATACTTTTTAGTCTTAAATCTATATGCTTGATATTGAATAAGGGGGTTTTATTGTCTTTTGGCACTTTGAATAATATTTCTGTTCATGTTAAAAACAAAATCAATTCTCTGTATAAATATATCAGGCGACCGTTAAGGCCCATGGGCCTCTTGTTTTATCTGAGACTCCATTCATTACTGTCCTAACAGACTTTCCCTGGCCTGCGGCGGTGCTGCTATGAACTCTGTGGAAGAACTGACACCAGATTGTCTGGGACATGCTGGTCTGGTGTATGAACAGGTCTTGGTAGGTACAATATTTTTTAATTTCTCACAATCAGATCCTTCAATATGACAGCAAATCAAAACAAATGCTTTGCGGACCCTTTTTTTTTTATTTATTGCATGAATTAAAGACACTTGGTCTAGTATCATTATAGATTGCTTTTGTTTAATTCTGTTTGATAAACTTCAGTCAGAGATAATTAATGAATTATTATCATTAATTAATTATATGAAAAACAAATTCCATTGTTAAGTTTACTTACATTGCATAAAGAATGAAAATATGCCAAAGTGTGAATAAAGCTATAATAAGAACTGAAAATTGATGACGCTGAGGCAAACCTTGAACAAAGGAAATGTTTACTTAGAGAAAGGAATTTAAGACGGTTCTAATTCCTAGTTGACAGTTATTTATCCATTTTTAACGTAGTTATCTGCCTTTACAGGGAGAAGACAAATACACCTTTGTGGAACAGTGCAAGAACCCAGCCTCTGTGACCTTGGTCCTGAAAGGGCCCAACAAACACACACTGACCCAGATCAAGGACGCGATCAGAGATGGGCTCCGGGCAGTCAAAAATGCCATTGAAGATGGTCAGTTTAATGTTTGGCATGCTCAAACAAACAAAATATTTTTGATTTCAAATCATAACTTGAGATGCATTATAAGAAATTGAGTATAATGGAATATATTATAATGTTAGGTACATATGTTATAATGTATTTTATACAGTAAAAACCCACTAGTTCTAATTTTTGGGATCCAGATCTGCAGTCTGTGGAATTCTATGAATCCAATGCTAGATCAAAATCCTCAAGTATCGTTAGTATCAAATTTTAGGGAACTGTTTATCTAAATTGAAGAAAATGTTGAATCCATGATATTTTGATGTTGATTAATTACGACGTGATCAAATCATAATGTATTCAGAGTTAAGATATTTTTGAAAACAATCGGAAATCCTCTGAGATCTCTATTTGATATAGCCAAACTGAAATACTGTTTACACAATGAAATCTCCCTTCTAACGTTAGAAATAGCAATTTAATACTGGAAAAAAGTTTCAAGTTTTTATTTTTGGAAAGTAATTACAAAATTTATCCACAAAGTAGACTACCTATATTAGAAATTTAAAAAAAAATGGATTCAAAAAATGTTGATCCTTTTACATGGTGCATATATCAGTAGTTGTGTTTCTGTGGTTTCAGCATGCGTCATCCCAGGAGCAGGAGCCTTTGAAATTGCAGCTTATCAGGAACTGATGAAGTACAAAAATGAAGTGAAGGGACGACCACGTTTAGGTAGTAAAACAAACCCAGTTAATCCAAATAAGCAATTTGAGGTATTAAGTATCTCTATACTGCTGCCCAAAAATTTACAATAATTGGAAACTTTTGTACTTGCATGACAATAGCTTTGATAAATTCTTTTTGAAACGAAGTACATGCATTGTGAAACCTAGATGGGGAAAAAATAAAGACAAATTAAACAAAACAAAATATCAACAAGCATATTGAGAGCAAAAGTTAAAAAAAAATCAAACAAGTGACGAGTCTACTTAGGTAATACAATCTAGTTGTCAATATAATAAAAACAAGACTAAATTCATAATTGGTTTTAGTTGCTTATAAGTCCCCTACAAGTTGAATTTCTGTGATGCGAGAAAACTGCTGTATGGTCCGTAAGTTTCTATTAATATCATGGCACAATGAGGTGACAAGCATCTGACCAGCTGTCTCTCCTGCATGATTCGGTGATTTCCTTACAATATACACAAGCTTGTGACAAGTGTACACATGTTAGAGTTATTTCCAATATGAATATATAAGAGTGAGGGTTGGGTGTAAAATATTTTACACAGTTGGTCAAAGGGGGGAAAATTGTGGTGTGTGTGTCACAAAAGAGTGTCTGCTTATCCCCAGCTACCATACCTTTGTAAAGTAGGCTTCATATATTTCTAAGAAAAGGGGTATGAAAGAAATTAAACCTTTAAGGTTGGAGGAAAGGGGGGAGTATGTATGCTAAAATGCTTTGAATCTACAGTACACATATTTTTTAACAGGTGTGCAAGCCTTTGCTGATGCCCTACTGATTATTGTGAAGGTGTTGGCTAGTAACTCTGGCCTTGACCCACAAGAGTCCATTGTTAAGCTTCAGGAGGAATACACTGACCCGAGCCATGCTGTAGGACTGGACATCAAGACAGGTAATAAAGATATGATTGGGCAGTCAGATAAGGGGATGAAATGCTTTAATACTTTAATGTTTAAATGTTTATTTTAGGTATTCTGACTGACCAAAACAATTTTATATAACTCAGATGCACCAAAAGTCACATTGGAATGCACCGAAAATGATAAGCGTCTTTATGACAATGATAGGTTTACCAGGATTTGCCAAGATGGCGGGTTGAACCTGATTGATTTCTCATATTTGCACAATGTTCACATATGAATTATAGAAAAAGTAACAAAATCAGCATTAGACAGGCATTGTTATTAGGTTTGGTGATTTTAGTAATTTCTTAAATTAGCCGGCTCCCCAACCCCCTTAAAAAATAATAATGAATTAAAATAAAAGCAAATACCAACCGATCTATCATACCTTTTTCAGTCATGCTACCTGAAACAAATCTTTTCTGTAAATTGGGAAATATTGGTCTGTTTCATTGCATAGTGATAAAATAATTTAATGTTTGTCGAGACAATTTTGAAAATGGAAATTTATCTTAATTACCTGTTTGAATGAAAAGCACATGCAATATTATTTTGAAAGTCCTAAGGGGCAAAATGTTGGAAGTTTTAAAAGTCATTAAAAGTTGAGTTCGAAGCAGGGAATTGTAAAGATATCTCTAAGAAATATTTAAAAGATAAGACTTTTCCTAAGTGTCTCCACCTGGAGTCAAACCCGGCTTTACAGATGACTAGTTTTTACATTGCCCAATTGATTATGTTCGAGTGAAATTTCCTCTAGCCAAGCCAATAACAAGCAACTAGATTATTTGTACATTGCCTGGAATAGAAAACGTACATTTTAGATTTTTGGGTTCAGTTCCAATTTGTTTTCTACAGTTTGATATGATGACTGTTCAAACACTGCTTAAAATACTGAGATTTATATTGAGTCTACTTTTTACAGGTGAAGCCTTGATACCTGCAGATGCTGGTATTGTAGACAACTATAGAGTAAAGAAACAACTCCTCCACTCTTGGTAAGAAAGAGGAATAAACACCCTTTAATAAAATTGATTGTCGAATTTGTAATACATTTTCAGTAACACTCATCAGTTAGGAAACATGCTATATCAAAGTGTTACTTTATTTTATATACAAACAGGGTATGTATTGAACATGTCCCACTATTTGAAGAATGACTGGAAGCAATGTAGTGATATAATTAAATTTGTGGTAAAACAGTTGTTACAGTAAAAAAATTACTCGTTCTTTCTTGGAAAGATTGTGACCCAGAAATTTTAAGATGAATGATGATCATGTTGCCAAGCAAATATAAAGTTGTTTTCATATGGTATTGGTTTGTATTGCAGCTCTGTAATTGCGACCAACCTTCTACTGGTAGACGAGATCATGAGGGCTGGCATGACATCACTCAAGGGATCTTAGCCCTAGTCTCATCCTGCTGTCCTGTGTGCTCACCTGTGTTTGTCTCGTATTTTTCTTAATTTATATGACCAAATAAGGATTTACATATTCATTGAAAGGATGTCTTCAATGGATCTTAGCTGAAACAACAAAATAAAGATGTCTTTATATAATACCATGTCAATTTTATTGTGCCAACATCAAGAATTGAAATGGAAAAGCCATGAACTTTCAGAAATGTCTAAAAGAATTTCTATATTAGTGCTGAACTTCGAACAAAAAATTAATTAAATGTCCTATGTTTTGGGCATTAAACAATATATAAGGAGCTTTATATAATCTTTATACTGTCATATGTGTTTGTATTAAACATTTGCTTCCATTGAAATATTTTCATGTCATGATTTCACACTTCAAAACCATCCAAACACGAAGTGGACAATCATGTGCTCAAGTTGAGATAAACAAGATAATAAGACTTATTTTCAAACAAGGACTTTATAGTCAATGTGAAAGACAATCCAAAGGGACTATTTCCAGCTATGTTAAAATAACATAGGAGCCTGCTCCTCATAACTTTCGATTCAGAATTGCTATTTTCAATCCCTAATACATCTGGAATAATTACTTTGAATCATTATTCTAATCTGTCTGCTGCCGTGATAATTAAGGTTTTTTATCCTTATTTGGACTGGAGCATCCTTGGACCAAGGGGAATCGGATTTGTATAAATGATGGGTGTGTGCCGCCCCCTCAAATCCAGAACAGATGCACCCAAAGGGCTGGAAAAGCTTGAAATAAATAGGTTATTTTCTTGTGAATATAGAATCACCAGATTGAGAACAAACTCAAAGCTTTACATCTTTTCTTCCTTCCTTATTTTTTCCAAAACTGCCATTCGAACATATTTCATACTATTGCATCTTACAAAACATCTGCAAATGTCATCAACTATTAAAAGGGCATCTCGGAATCAACGTTTTGGTGGCCATTTTAAAAAGGAATAAACCAACGATTCTTTTCCAAACATCTTTTCTGTTGATTAATATTCATTCCATCCAAACTGGAAAAACATGTTTTCTTCTGTCAGTTTTCAGTCATAACGATTTGACTATACACTTAATTACATAGCCATGAATTCTGATGTTTAGACTATATGGTTATTTGAGCCCTTCTTTGAATATGCTCCACCGCATATTTTGGATTGCTATTTTAGTCACGGGTACTTCATGACCTTGTCCTTTCAGGAGGAACGGTTATCCAGTGGTAGGACGCCGGGCTCGTGACCGAAGGATTGCGAGTTCGAGTCACGTCACGGCACTGTGTTGTATCTGTGAACAATACACTTTACTCCGCTTGTTCCAGTCTACTCGGCTGTAAATGTGTACGTGGTTGGGCAGTGCTAGAATTGTTGAATGCTAGTTGTGAGCGCCGAATTGGCAGCACCGGCTGTATGGTCCCCAATGGGTTGAGAAAGAAATTGTCTGGTTGCAAAGGCCCTATAACCTCGGATAATAATTTGTGAACTGCTTTGAGACGACCCATATAAGAACCTCGAATTATTATTATTATTATTATTACAAGCGAACCGGTAATAAGATTTGTATATATACACTGATGTTCTATTTATAGTAAGTGACATTGACCTTTGATATCAAAGGCTGAAAAGCTATCCAAAAGCTTAAGCAAATATTTTATTACACTGGATAAAGTCGGAGTGCATACGGCCCAAAAGGGCTCCACATATTGTGCATAAAATGTTTTTCTATTTATAGTAACATTAACCTTGAAATTTGACATCGATGCCTCAAAAGCTACAATTTGTATTCTAAGCAAATACTTTCTAAAGTAACAATGACCTTAACCTTTCACCACCAAAGCAGGCACTTTCTCTGAGGTAGCACTTGATAAAGCCTGAGTATAATCATCCCAACAGAATTGGAAATATTGTGCCTTAACTAATTTTCTATTCATGGTAACAGTGACCTTGACCTTTAAACCGCAGGACCTGAAAAGCTATTCATAGCAAGCACTTTCTTCAGAAAAGCACTGGATAAAATCTGAAAGCAATCCAACCAACATTACTGAAGATATTGTGCAGAAATTAAACAAGAAGCCCAATGGGCCTGTGTCGCTCATTTGCTTCTAATGCAACTTTGAAGTTGATCTAGGTCATTTATGTGGATGCTAAGCTCATTACCACTTTATTCAAATATAGCACATTTGACCCATGTGACCTCTGAACAAACTTGGTAGTCCTTTATCCAAGCATGCTGCAGGCCCAATATCAGGTATCTGGGCTTCTTGGTTATTGAGAAGATGTTAGCACATTTGACCCCTGTGACCTTGAAAGTCGGTCAACGTCATTCATTTGAACACACTTCGTAACCTCTCATCCAGGCATGCTATAGGCTCAATAGCATGGTCCTCTTAGTTATTGAGAAGTTGTTTTAAGATTTTAGCACATTTGACCTCTGTTACCTTGAAAGGCAGGCAAGATAATTCATTTGAACCAATTTGGTTGTCCTTTTTTCAAGCATGCTACAGGCACCATATCAGGTCTCTGGGCCCCTATTGAAAATAAGTTGTTTAAACATTTTACCTCATTTAACCCTTGTGACCTGGAAAAGTCGGGCAAGGTCACTCATTTGAACAATCTTGATATCCCTTCACCCCAGCACGCTACAGGCCCAATACCAGGTCTCTGGGCCTCTAGGTTATTGAGAAGATGTTTAAAGAGACTAGAAAAGGTCTGTAAAACATAAATGCCCCCGCTTCCATGTGAAATTAGTTTAAGTGTTCTATAAAAAGTTACAACCACTTTGATCTTGATAACCTGAAACATGCACACACACAAGGTACTACACTTTAAGTTGATTTTAATATTCTTATGTTTTTCTGTATGTTATTACCCTCTCCATAACATATTGGATGATGTTGCTAAGTGTTTAAATTAAATCAGTTGATGATTTTCTATATATAGCAACAGTGACCTTGGCCTTGACCTTGGAACCCTGAAACACAGCAATGTCCGAAGTATACTCATACGTGACCTTTGCATAAAGTTTGACCATAATCCATGAACGAATGAAGTTGCTAAGTGTTAAAATTGAATCAGTTGTTGATTTTCTATATATAGCAAGTGACCTTGGCCTTGACCTTGGAACCCTGAAACACAAGGGTATACCCATATCTGACCTATGTATAAAGTTTGACCAAAATCCGTGAAAGATTGAAGTTGCTAAGTGTTTAAATTGAATCAGTTGAGGATTTTCTATGTATAGCAAGTGTGACCTTGACCTTGATCTTGGATCCCTGAAATACAACAATTTATGAAGTTTACTCATACTTGACCTTTGTATAAAGTTTGACCAAAAACTGTCAAAGAATGAAGTTGCTAAGTGTTTACATTGAATCGGGATGCGACGCGACGGGACAGGACGGGACGTCGGACGCCGCACCAGGGTAAAAGCTCACTTGTCCTTGGCAGGTGAGCTAAAAACAGATAGAAGGACAGACAGACAGAAAACCTGATTACTAACTATAGATGTGCAGGGGTCCTAACAACAAATTGTGAAATTGAATTGGAGAATCCCCCTTTGGGACCCCACTCCTCCCCCTAGGGAGCCAGGGTATTATGAGAGAGACCCTCTTTAAACGGCATTCAGTCTTCTTAACCGAGTAATGCTCCAGACCATTGGTTTGAAAACATCATCAAGCCATACAGAAGGACTTCAAAGGATGTACTGTATTAGGTGATTTATGACCTCGCAACAGCCAGGGTCATATGAAGACGGGTGTCAAGGAGACACCTATAGAAGAAAACTACAATTCGAAGGAAGTGCATGTGTTGACGGAAAAAATACAATTACTAATAAGAATTTCCTACGTGCAAAGGGCTATAACTCCAGAAAAAATACAACATTGACACTGGATTCTAACTCAAACTGTAATCCATTATACATGTATACTAAGTTACAAACAATATGGAAAACAGTTAATTATGAGAATTTCCTATGTGCAAATGGGCCATAACTCCAGTCAAAAATGGAATTTTAATACATGTACATGGTTCAAACTCTGTAATCTATTATTGATAAAGCCACAAACAAAGTTTCAAATTGATATGGCAAGCGGTAGGGAAATAAGTTCAAAAAAAGTTTATTTTGATAATTTCCTATGTGCGAAGGGCCATAACTCCAGCAAAAAAAAAGAATATTAACACGAGGTTCAAACTCAAACTGTAATCCATTATGACAAAGCCACATATTAGGTTACAAATTGATGTTGCAAGTGGTAGCGAAAAAAAGTCTGGGAAAACATTAATTATGAGATTTTTTATTTGTAAATTAAGGGCCATAACTTCAGCAACAAATGAAATATTGACATAGGGTTTGGACTCTTACTGTAATCCATTATGATAAAGCCACATACTATTAAAGTGGCAAGTGGTAATGAACAAAGTATGACACACAGTTAATTATGAGAACTTCCAATGTGCAAAGAAAGGGCCATGCATACATGTAACTCCAGCAAAAAAAATAAAACATTGGCCTGTGGTTCCAACTTGATCTGTAATCTATTATGATTAAGCCACACACAAAGTTACAAATTTATATGGTAAATGGTGGCGAAAAAAAGTCTGGGAAACTTAAATGTGACTGCCGCCGCCAACGACAACGGACAGTAGCGTGATCCTTAATTGTTCGCCATGCTTCTCAGGCAGCACCACAAAGAAAGGCAGAACAGTGAAGACAGAAAGGAAAGATTTAAGATCCCAAGTGTGTTGCAATGGGGGCAGAAGATCTATTTTGGTCTGTTCAATGTCCCCCAAGTAGTAGACATGAAAGCAAATCCCCGATTCTTCAGCTTCAGGGGGCCCCCCCATCTTATGTACATTGTATGTAAATTAAATTATGGTTTGACAGATTTTGAGAGATTCGATGACTCAAGTAGAAAATTGTTTGAATCATGTAAACTTGAAAAGAAAGTGAAGGCACATAACTCGTCATGTAGACTCCAATTCAAGTAATTTGTGCTGATCTGACAGATCTGTCAATTCAAGATATATCTGTACACCAAATTCAAGAAGAATTACACATTATTATATGTTTCGCATGTCTGAAATTGTCTGACATTGTCAATATGGTAAGTTTTAAGCAAAAGTTCAAAACTATCTAAAATTTCTGGATATTTTTTTCCAAAAACAACAGGAAGAAAATCTACATTTCAAAGAAAGTGGTAGCTATGGGAGCACCCTATATATGTAATAAACATAAAAATATTGGTACTTTGCAAAACAATAAGCAAATTTTGCAAAACCACTTATTCTCAAAAATCACCTAAACATGACATATTTTATCTAAAAGGAAACTTGGAACTTATCAAAGTAACAAACTATATATCCGATGTATAACAAAAAGGAATGTGAGGAAATCATGTGAGGGACACAACTCACGGGAATATTATCAAAAGGAAGACAATCAATCATAACTACACAAATACTTAGAGTACATGTAAATAGCAAGTGTTCCTAGTTTAAAACAGAGAGTATGAGTATCACTTGAAACAAATTTTAAATTATATAAGAAATAATTCTCAGGGACACCATATAAATGAAAATTAATTGATTGATATAACAGTCGAGATGCATTCAAAATCCTCCCCACATGGAAAGTAAAACAAACATTACAGTAAAATGTTCAAACCTGGTCTGCATGGTGTAAAGTTTCACCTTTTGTGACTTTCAGCTTTCTTGGTGAATTTTGTGCATTTTTAAATATCTCCCATTCTCATCAGATGTATATGAAGTGCATACCAAATGGAAAAATAAAAATATGAATGATAAACTGCCAGAATAAGATGTAGAGGAAAACAAACAAAGGGGCACAACTCTTCAAGTTCGTGAAAATAGGATGCTTCTTCACCAAAGTCAAATAACTTTGGCTACTTCATCTTCTGACAGGTCGATGAGACTTATTTAGCTGTCAAAATCAGACCAAAAAATACTGCAGTACAATTTTATGTTAACTTATGTATTAGTGGATTTGAACACCACTGTAAATATGAATGTTGAACAGAAATATTTTAACATTTACGGAACACATTTTTTTTTTTACAATCCTTTTAATCACAGATTTAGGGTTTAAATGTTGTTGTTGTTGATGTTTAGTGAATCGAAGAGATACATGAGCATCAATAATACATGATAATAACCGAAAAGAGACATTAACAGACGTGATAACAGGTGAAATGTACTGTACCGGTATAACCTTTTTTTTAAACAGTATTCTAAAAGATATGATTAAGGTTTCAGACTCTTTTTTGGTTATCAGCATCTTTTGAGGAAACTCCATGTACTGTAGCAGAAAAATGTCAACAAATAATATGAAGTGTATGTAGTGCAGTGGATATAAAAAGCTCAATTCCTAGCTGCTATATATTTGTTGAAAGTTGTCAAAGAATTAGATATTTGGCAGACCTTTCTTATACATATGTCTTAAAAGTGGTTGCGAGGATTTATAAAACCCAAAAAACAAACTGATTCCTATTAATTGAAAATTATTGAAAATAACGTCAGGTAATTCGGGTAAAATGGACTTCCATCATGATTTTACATATTCATAATGTGTTTATACAGCCTCTCTTAAGAAAAACACATTCCATACATGTTTTCAGCCTGTTTTTGTTGTCATTTTCTGTCCAGCCTGTAACATCTCCTCTTTGCTAGCCAAGCGTTCATTTTGTAATTCACATATTCATGTATTCAACCTTAGCGGATTTAGCCTTGTTCTCTAAGCTTTCAAATTACTGAACGTGGCACAGGGACTTGGCACGAATTACCATCCTATGGTCCACAATTTTTGTTTATATCATACATTATATAATACACATATGTGAACTGAGGGTTAGACATTAATACCAAGTCCCTGTGCATGTAAATAATAATGGCGGCGCCCAGTACCAAGTTGCCTTGTCGACTATGTCATGATTTATGTCAAAAAACAAAGGAGGACAATACTTAAAGAAACATTTTCTGTATTTGATCAGTTGGTAGAGATAATTGGCCATATTCTAACTGTAAATGATAACCAAGGGAAATACATAGGCGACCAGTGCTGAAATAAACTTGAAAGTTTAAAGTTTTGCTAGTAAAGTGTCTCTGCTAGGTGGCAGGGGAGGGAAATTAAACACAAGGCTAAATCTGCCAAGGTTGAATAGTACAAATTTAAATTATGAACCCTTGGCTATTGAAGATGGTGAGATAACGAGATTAGATCGTAAAATAAGATGTGTCTTCAGCAGTATGCTCCAGTGAAATGACACTATAAAGTCAGCATCAGTCCTGCGCTATCACAAGGAGACAAACTGATGAACATACCACAGACTCCCAAAACACAAATTAATTATGCATGAACTCACCACACGCATGCATCTAGCATATGGGGAGGCCGTCTTTAAATGACCATGTATAGCTGTTGATAGGACATACATTAAACAATACTAAATCAAACCTGAAGTTTATTTTGACATAAAGATCTTATTTATTTGGATAATTTCATGGAAATGATGACTTGTAATTTTAAACAAATGATTTGTTAAGTTCAGCTTGCATGCATTGTATGAATGCTATTTTAATAACATTGTACCCATATGAATCCATGATTGTCGTGAAGTGGTGATATATTTGAATTTAATACATTTGATGCTCTATTACCTGACCTGGAATGCATTCGTAGCCATACCGAGACAATACAATACTGTGGTATAACTGTATATATATATTGTGTACATAGTTTAAGCATCTGCAAGACCAGCTGTTCTAACTTACAAATGTCCAGGTGACGAGAAATAACATGAGAGGAATGTTTTTTTATTTTTGACACGAGTTGTAGGCAATTCACTTTTCAATTCGTACTATTCTTCTCTTTGGATAATGACGCTTTAACTTGTAAGCGAAAAATACATCACTGGCGTCACGAGCAGCATCAATACTTAAAATGTCTTTTAATATTAACAGCTACCAAACCTGTGCTCCAGTTTACAAATAAATGCTATGTCCCAATCACCTGCCCTCTGGACTGGTTTTTAAGTAAGTTGTTTTAGTGCCAAATTTTGTGCAGCATGATTATTTAGCCTCTTTATCTTAGTTAATCCTTCCAACGTAGGTATCTTGTGATAAAATTTGTTGTTTGCCTTACACTGTTACAATGTTTTACCATATAAATACAAGCTCCTGAGAGCTTATGTTAACTATGACATATATTCAACGTAAAATAATGATTCTTGTATCTTGTATTTTGAAGTAACATGCCACTATGCTTTTATCCGATAATTTTAAGATAAAAAAAAAACCACACACACAAGCTTTCAATCACGAACTTTTCCTCGAATGCGCCTATGTATAATCTTCGGCACGATGAAAGACACAAGTTAAGGCCGATGCCGACATGTACAAATGTATGTAAACTGTAAAACGAAAGTAGGTCTGCGCGAAAAATATTATTCTTGAATGTTTGCGAAGCAGACGACGTTTGATCATAATCTGGAAACTAGAACATTTTTTTCCAAAAAAATGTGTTTTAACATTTGAAAGAAAAAAGTTTGAACGGGAAAAAATAAATTTGTTCTTTTATGAATTAATGAAAGTGATACAGAAAGGAAATATAGTGAATAATTGATAGTAAATTTATCAAAAACATCATCCTTAGAGAGTATGTTCTGGGCACGATCGTTTAGAAGCTTTGCAATACTTTAAACTCTTTCAAACGCGCATCAGCTCGAGATTAGGTCCTGTTTACAAAATGGCGACTGGAAGTAGCAAGGCGGATTAAATTAGAATTTAAATTGCGTATATTTCGGCAAGTAAACATTGTTCGCAAAGCCCATGTGGTCTGTTCATCTAATTTAGTCAAGATGTACCCAGAACAGTCGTTGTTTAGTCGCTAGGGTCATTCACAAAATAAATAGTATTATTATATAAACTTATTGTAATTATTGTAATTATTATTACTCTATAATCAAACTATTTTTCGTATATATAAGTTATAACGTACTTTTATTTTAAGATGAACACATTTTTCGTTTGGAAAATATATTTCTTGAGATGGCTTCTGGCAGTTGATTTGTCTGTAAATATCTGATAATTCACCATAGCAAGTGATTTATACATGTATGTATACTGTAGCATATGATCCCTAGTTTTGGTTGCATCATGAATTATCCTTCAATGCATTGTTAGTTTGACAACATTCGTCTTTTGGGAAACAACTCTGACTTTTTGACAATTTCAGTTTTATGCTTCTACGGAACTCGAACCAAGAGCTCATTTTAATTTGTATGGGTATTACTATTAGGATGAGGAACCGAATGAAAGAGGTGATGTGACTAAGAGACGTTATGAAATTACCCAGGCAAGTGACTGACCGTTGTTGAATATGGTTAATAGGGTGGTTTGACCATATCTTAGTTGTGTTAACCACTGTTGGCTACTAATGGTCAAATGTCAAACCATGGATGACCCTGTATAGTGAAACCAAGCTTACAATAATAAGGAGAAACATCATTGTTTCAAGTCTAGCAGCTTGAAGTTATCATGAAAGGTTTTGGGCATATGCTCCAGAAATAACAAATTTTACATTTTTATTTGTTTGTTTTTTAAGGTTTAACCTGAATATATTTTTTATGTTATGGAGCTATAACACAAAAAAACGAGGTACACTCCTGTTTTTTGTGTTATATAGCTCCATAACATAAAAAAACATATTCAAGTCAATCCTTATAATTTAATCTACCATGCACAATCCCTGTGGAAATCAACTTTTATTGATGGACTCTTTTCCCTTAGAATTTATTACGCCGCTGTATCAGCCAATCAAAAGCGACGTTACAAATGTAACAGGGTCAATTTTATTGTCATATATAGTAAATGTTATAATTGTGTATAAATATCCATTTGTATGTGCCCAGGGTGTTTTGTGTATTTGTTTGTCCATTTGTTGGCGTTACATGTTACAGGGTGTGGTGTTCTATGTATTTTGTGTAATGTGTTGCTATTTTCAGTGTAACAGTTTACGCCCAGTGATTTAAGTCCAGAGTCCATGTTCTTGTCTTGCTTTTTATTGGTCGCTATTTTTATAATCCCTTGTTGGTCAGTCTTGGCGGGAATATCATTATTAGGTCAGTTAGACTCCTGCCTGCCAAGCTGATCACAAGCTCTATCTACTTGTCTTTAAAGTATTCCAGGCAGTTACAAAGTAAGTTTCTATGTTTTTCTGTAAATTATTTCTTGTGTAATATTAGTTTTCATTAATATATAAAGTAACTTCAATAAGTCATAATGTTGAAGTATTTGGTATATTTAGTAATTTTCTTATTTTCAAAATTACAGCCATAGAGCTAGAAGTATATGTTTCATAAAAATGGTGCAAAGTTCAGTTTGAAAGTTGTCTATTTTGATATATCTATGTATTTGCAAATGTCATAGTAGTAAGGTATTTGTTTGTATTATTTTAGAATTATTCGAAACTTGTACAGAGGTGGCAGTAATAGAAGCATCTAGGATGGCTCTGTGCCATACACAGGTATTTGCCTTATTTCATGTTTAAATTGTTTAGTGGTAATGTCATATAATCGTTTATATGATGCCATTTCCATGTTGATATATATATGATAAATTGTAGATCATTTCTATAGTTCTGATTCTTATCAATTTAACTGTAACGTTATAATAACTTGAAAGAAGTTATTATTTGTATTGTTGGATTAAGATCTATGAAATTGTAAATCTTAAAGATTCTATCTCATTTAATATATTATGATTATTTAGTAATTCCATTTGAAATGGACTTATCGATGTACATCATAATAGAGAGTTGTGTCCCTTGATTATACGTGCGTGTAATTTACACTGCTCTCTCCACTCAGTGTTAAGTATATTCTTTTATGTTTATTTCAGAGTATCTACAGAATACAATAAATATCCAGTATGTAAATACATGCTATCTATGCCACCTGCCCTGCCTCTGTGAATTGTACTGTACCAAGCATTGAAGAATAAAGAACTCATTATTACGTAAACAACACCCGTGGGCTCTATTTATGTGGAACACAACGGTTACACAAACTGCGACGTCATTTTTTACGTTATGGGCTGATAACATAATTTTTTAGGCCAATGAAAAGGTTTGTTACAAGCAAGATTAAATTATTCTGTGGTAACAGGGAAAAAACGAAAACAAAAATTTGCTGATAGCTTAAAGCACAACCTAACTACTAGATTTGAATGCATATAAAATTTAATCAAGTTATCTTGAAAGGCTTTTGAGATATTGTCCACCAGCTATAATTTGCATTTTTGGCTATCTTACATTTGTTTCCATAATAACAGAAAACGTCAATATTGAAAACATCCTCTTTGTAAACGGCAATACTAAACAACTAGATTGATGTAAATACAAAGTTTTGTAAAGTTACCTAAAAAGTTTTCTGAGAAATGAACTTGAAGCCATTACTTTTGCATTAGGGAAAATATCAAAAATAAAAAAACAAACCCATAGTATAAGGCAATTCTACACAACTAGAATGATGTACATAATAATTTTGTCAAGTTATCTCAAAAGGAGATAAGCTCCGGAAATGACAAATTTTGTATTAGTGTCCATTTGTTTCTATGGAAGCAGAAAATATGTCTAAAATGAAAATGTCCTAATAACGAAAAGCACTGCCAGACAACTAGATTCATGTAGTTAGACATTTTTGTAAAGTTATGTTATAGTTTTTGACATATGCTCCAGAAATGACAAAGTTTGCAAAACGCACCACTAGACTACTGGGACAGAGCTCTCCCTTGTGACCAGAACCCGTTTGTATATCCACTGCCAACTTTGCTGGGCGGGGAAAACTAACTGCAATAATTTGATATCAGTATGTGGAACAGGAAATGCTGCATGTTACAGTTTTGCATCCAGAATTTTTGTGAGAAAGAATTAAAGAAAGGAATTGGGGAGTTGGACTAAACATGGTATAGGACATCTCTAGATGGAGGGGAATATACTGTGTATACACAGAATTTGGCAGCAATGTGGGCAGAGTGGCAAGACATAAAACTGGTTATGTTCATGATCAGATCGCATAGCACTGAAAAACTATTAGAAATACAGAGTAACAAACTTCCACACATGGTGTGTTGAAGTGGATCTTAAACACTCACCTAACTTAATTTGTTACCTGTCTAATCCCATGATTGTTACGTGCCGCAGTGCAATTTCCTAGTAGTAAGAAGTGTATGCTGTAATATGTGATAAGAATCATGGATGAGAAATAATGACCATGTCCATGTGATCCTGATGACATGACATGTCAATCAATATTTGATTATATCACTGACAGACCTTTTAAAATCAATGGTATGATGTCGTGCAAGGGTTAATTCTAGTGTTTTGTGCATACTATATATATTTTTTTTTTCTTTTTTTTTATTCAAGATTTTTTGCAATATATGGTATATTTACATTCAAACAATTCATATTATATATTCAGACCTCACACGACTCATATATACTCTTACTTACATCAGTTGATATATTTAGACACAAGTACATGTAATGGTACCCATGTACACATATATTGCTTTTATGAGAACAGAGAGAGAGAGAGAGAGAGAGAGAGAGAGAGAGAGAGAGAGAGAGAGAGAATAGAAAAGAAGGGAAAAAAATAGCAATGAAAAACGGAGAAAGTCAACAGAAAGTGGAAGAAAAAGGAGAAACTAGTTTTTGCACTGCAGCTTAATAATAAACCAACTTTATGTTTAGAATAAGATTATAAGATATTCTTCTGTATTAATTGTAAGTAAGGTGCTTTCGGCTTTAAACTGCAAGTAAATACAGCCATATAAAGGTGACTGAGAAATGAGGGTAATACTCAGGACAAAATATATTTATATCATAAAAGAGATTAACTTTAATAAGTTCAGACAGAAACATCAACTTAGATTCACAAAAAAGGGACAAAAAACATATATTTGGCAAGATTCAATACAGGTATGGTAAAAGGGACATAACTGCCAAAAAAAAAGTCCTTGTGCATACTATATGTACTATATGTACTATATGCGGCGTGCATAGGATTGTGTTTCTATGTAAACACGAGTATACAATGGTCTTTTAATGACACCCGTGGGGAACCCCATGGAGGGCACAAATAGAATGTATAGATTACCAAACTCAAGGGAAAGTTAAGCTTGATCTATGTAAAAAATGGTTATCCATGAAAAGTCAGTCAATTGGGTTTTTATTAATAAGAATGCATCACTAATTTACCAGTTTAAACTCATTAAAATAAAGGTTGATTGTGGTAAATCATATAAACGTAGCATGCAATTGTTTCATATACTCGGGCTGAAAAACGACCAATCCTAACACAACAATCTAATGGTAAAGCTAACAATGCTTTGACAAGTTGAGCTACATGTTCGGGGTATGCCTAGCGGACAGTAGGTGGTCTATGCGCCAGATTTGGACCACATTTGTTGACAATTCTGCACCGGTTTTTGTAACATGTATGTGTCAAGATGTAACATTAGGCTAACACAATAAATACAATATTTATTAATACCCATGAATGACTGACAAGTAAAAGGTGATCGAGATGCAATGCTTTCTCAATCAAATCACATATTTCATAAGTGTTAGAAACTTAAGTTCATATTAAACTTTTTAAACAACTTCCAAAAAACCCTTTGTTGTGGTGCTAGAACATTTCTTCATATAATGATATTGATCTTATTTCAAAAGTCAAATGGGTTAAAAATATGTAAAAAAAATATCAAGCAACATTTTCTAGAGAATTTTGAAGTCTGAAGCCATGAGTGTTTTGTATTATATGTCAATCAGCAGTGCATTTCTTTTTAAATATAAAGCATATAATGTTAAGGTCAAAGGTCAACGTTAGACGGAGTCGACGTTTATCATGGGCAATAATGGGCAAAAAGTTAAAAGAATCCTCCTAATTTCCATTAGACCCAGTGTCCTGTTATTGAGGTACCTAGGAGAGAGTGCTATAAAGTTTTCTCTTATCGATGACATTGTTTTACTTTCAATGTCACAGGGGTCCACAATGATACAACTTCCAGCAACATTTTCTATGGAACATAAGGGCGTGAGTTATGGAAGTTATGTCGACCAGCAATACAGCTTTTTCTTGCACATTTGTTTAGGCCAAAGGTCAACTGCTGAAAACTGTATAGGGTTAAAGGTTAGCCTAGGCAGTAAAGGTAAGACGTTAAAAAACCCATTCTCAAGTTTCATAAGGCTGAGATCGAGTCACGCTAATTGGCTAGTAGGTACCTGTGATAGAGTGCAAACATTTGTATATAAATGACCCTGCTTTAAAGTTCTGTATTTGTAACGTCGCTGGGGTTGAATGTGCTAAAAACATCAAGCAACACCTTCTACAGAACCATATAATCCAGAACCCTGATGCTTTAGTATGATATGTAGTCCGAATCGTTTCCTATCATATTGTTCAATGTTAAACGTTGCTGTGAAGGCTGTCCGGAGTCCAAGGTTAACATTGGCTATACTGGGTAAACAGTTTTCAATTCTCTTCTCAACTAAGATAATATCAATGCAAACGTAGCGTATGCGTATATCAGACCAGCAGTTATGTAAACTACAGAGACACATCGTTGTATATACACGATACAGATTCAGTTATCTGGCGTCTACATCCGGCATGTAGATGGATGCAGTGTTAAAATGACTACTAGAGAAAGATTTCGTGGAGGTTGGCTGAATTTGATTTTGTCTGTTAACAAAATATTCATAACAAGTTGCCGAGGAGTCACGCTTGTCTAAACGCCATTTGCATGTTTATTGTAATCGCTGTTAGCGATCAAATTTAATGCTGTATAGTGACATCCAAGTGAAATCTATTTTAAAATGTAATTATTTTTAGAATAGAGTCAATTCCTGAATGTCCCCTCTCTTTGTGTTATAACACAACTACGTCGGCAGAAATCACCACGGAAGGTATATAACTAATTACCGAGCATGTTATTTGGGGTTTCATTTCACATAGCGACATCAAATATTAATTTTACAGATCGTCTGCTCATTCTGACTGAAGCATTATGGGCTGATATACGAATCGAAGAAACGATTTGTAGTGCTGACATATGAATGACAATCGAACAGCCAATGGAAACTATTTTATGCATCAATGGTCTTGTTGTGCGGTTGCTGTTGGTATGAAATGTATCATCATATCATCATCGATAACAACCATAACAAGAATGTGACAGGTGTGGGAGAAAACTTGATTACTGTACTAGCGCCTGCGATTGGAATAATATTGTAAATCTTACGGTAAGTTTATGTATGTTTTTGTAATTACTGAATTGTTCATTATACAGTTAATCTTTTTTATACTGCCACCATACACTCTTATATTGACACGATTCACATGATATTTTGGCGTTATAAAAAGAAATTGTCGATATATCGGAAAAAACATATAAAAGTAATTATTTAGAAAATAATGGAAATGGCTAAATTATACAAAAGAAGGACATTATATCGAAGTTTTACTGTAGTACGTAATGTTATTGAATAGTTTCAAACTTTGCAGCATTATTTTAAAAAGGGATTTTTAGTAGAATAATCAAGTTGGTATATGTGCTCATTTGTATAAATGTATACTAAAAAAATGCTTATTTGAATCTTAGCTATCAATTGGCTCATAAATTATGATCTAGTTTGTGTACTGTTTTAGCGACGATCCAATGACTTTCTTACAATTTTTAGCTCACTTGGCACGACATACCTGTAAACTTACAGTAAAGTCAAGTTCTTTTTTGTGTCACTTTCAAATGTCATCTTAGAGCGCTGGTTGGCGTCAAAGGTGAGCATGGGCTATACTGTTATAATGCCTTGACATCTTTTAAAAAATTCTAAAAATATGTCAGGTCCATGGTCATTGTATTTCTCAACTAGATACATTTGAAGGGTGTTCATATACACGAAATTGACCTACTTTAGATGTCGTGTTGAGTACTTTAAATACTTCGAACAACATAATATCTTAAAGAAGCGAACCATGAGATCTAGAGCCATGAACCTTTGGTATGTCACAGTACAAGCGATGTGAATCTTTCCCCTTACATTAATATTATGCTGAGGATAAAGTTCAAATTTAAGTCCTGTCGTCGCTGTGTCAATTGGAACTGTCAAGATCCAACGATGCATAATACGATCGCTTTGCATTATGAAACACATACACTCATGCTTCCACGCTATGCTTCTTTAAACTTGGATCATCAGAGATTCCTACCTCATAACGATATATACACGGCATGAAGATCTTGACAAACACAATCTTGATATGAAGGACGCCCCTTGGTCAGGAACTGCATCTGGGGACTTAGTCGTTGAATAATTTCTACGATCGAAGTTTACATTGAAAGAAAATATGCTGAGCCGGGACAATGTTCGCACTATTAATCCTGTTAACGTTATTCTGCCATATTTGTTCATTAATGTCCCTTTGAATAATAATGTGCCAGTCCTGGTTGATAAAAATACTATACGAATTGAATCCTCTGTTTTTGAATGATATCTACTTTGCCAGAATTCTAAACAATTATAAAAAGTAAAACATCAATAAAGCATTTAAATTCCATAGGTATAACTAATACAGTTTAAACGATAGTGTTAAAGGAGCTTCAAACAATTAGAACAGTTGACGTAATAATCTAGTGACGTCTTAGACCATTCAGTTCATAGCTAGGAGCAGATTCAAGGTAGGGCCCTGGTAAAGGGGAAAAGAAGTTGCAATAAGCAATGTGTTTGTTTTTCTGTTTGAAATTTGGTAGCTTTATTTTTGAAATTTTGCGTAGCTTTGTATAGACAGTCCACACCTGACAAGGTCTAATTGCGTTTTATACTGATTCATCAACGAGGAAGTAAACAGGTTTGTAACGGTTACGTAACAATAATCTGACGTCATACATCATGTGATGTCACTTATACAATAGCAACATTTCTGTCAATTCCCTTAAACTTTGGAATCGGCCCGAGTCTTCACGGAAGTGGCCTAGATTTTACGATATTTCCATGCTTGTTTTTATTTTTGCAGGACACATATGACTTCCGAGAAGAAGGCCGTCGTCAAAAACGCTGACATGTCGGAAGATATGCAGCAAGGGGCGATCGATTGTGCAAGAGACGCTCATGAGAAGTACAACATAGAGAAGGATATTGCAGCTTATATCAAAAAGGAATTCGATAAAACATTCAATCCTACCTGGCATTGCATTGTGGGACGTAACTTTGGAAGTTACGTAACACACGAGACAAAGCATTTTATCTACTTCTACTACGGACAAGTCGCCATCTTGCTTTTCAAGTCTGGATAAGTTTATCATGTGCATTGCTCAGGACTGTTTTGTCTAGTTTAGGATGTTAAATGGCCGTTCCAGCTGAAAGACATACCAAGTGATGTCAATAGTCTGAGGCGTTTTTGGTACCAATGCTATTGTTATCTCGAGGAACTTTGGAAAGTTGCACATCTCTTATCTAAGAGTAATGAGTTACTTCTACTTCACTACTGATATTCTCTGACATTTCGCCAGCCATATGTAAATACACACTTTACAAGATATTGCTCAATTAGTTTAAATGTTTGTTAAGTGAGCGAGGTGTCTGTCTTTTAAACTTTTCCTTAACGTCGGATAGATATATATACACGTACTTTCATTAAGATTCTTATATTGATTGCTTTTAATAAAATATACTTTCTTGTTTTTGTAAGTGGATTTTCCTTGTTTATTGAGCAAGACTTAGCTAATGAATATCTATTGAAGGTATTTCATTGGTCTATATTTCTAGGTTGTAGATAATCCAAATTTTGTCCTTATTTTTATTTTGTCATCATTTGTCTACATTTGTCCACTATGAGTCCACTAGTTGCCCACTATTTGTCCACTGTTTGTCCACTATTTGTCCATATTTGTCCCCTATTTTCTCACTATTTGACCACTATTGGTCCACCTGTGTCCACTATATGTCCATATTTGTCCACTATTTGTCCATATTTGTCCACTAGTTGTCCACTATTTTTTCACTATTTGTGCATATTTGTCCATATTGGTCCACTGTTTGTCCAAATAGGAAGAAATAAAAAAAAAGATTCACCGATTTTCCGTTATAATTTTCGTTATTATTTTCGCAGAATTTCACGTAACACTGAGCGAGGTCTACATCTTTAGCTGAACTAGAAACAAAAAGAGTTTGGTATTTTCCGACTAAAACGTTTGTTTTCTTTAACTTTTAAATCAATGCTAACAATCAGTCAAATCAAACTTAAGGAATAACTTATGAAATTTGTTTATTGGTAGTTGCATTGAGCTGCTCAAATCTGATTGGTCAAACTATGATCGAGAGCCTCGGGTTAGACAACCAAAAAACATCACCCCTCGGGTTGGAGATTTCTCTGTTACATCCTCTAGGTAGGGGATGATTATTTTTCTCCCATCCTATTATTTCAGTCACAGCTCCACCGACAGTAGTCTGCCATCTGTTTCAGCCTTTTGCTTCTGATTTAAAGTATTCTCTCCAGGGCTTTCTCACCAATGCTTCGTCGACCTTACAAAAACGCCATTAATAGTAACATGGAAGCCGAATTAGAAAGGCTGTGGAAAGACCAATCAGAGTTTGATCAATCAGATTTGAGCATCTCAGTTTAATACCACACTCGAAAACACTTTAAATATGCCGTGGATTTCATATTGTAAATAACGCATGTTGTAACTACTTGTTGTTTTTAGATATGCTTTATGCATTAGATTATTAAGGAAAATGACAATACATGATTAAAAAAGAGCAGAAAAAGAGGAGAAAAGAAAAGAGAAAAAAAAACCCCAAAGAAACAGCGTCGCCGAGAGAGAGAGAGCAGCTAAAATACATTAAACTTTCAGCAAACCAATATCAAATCGCAGGTCTGTCAAGCATTGCAGAGAGAGAGACAGTCCATCGATGCAATACCTGAAATCAGAAGGCAAAAAGTCAGAAACAAGGGGAGTTATTCCGTCAAAATGACGTCACACTAAATATACACACCTATTGGAAATAGGGGGAGATAATTCAGTCGGTAACACTAAAATTGATGTCGTCAAACGCAAAAAACCCACATGATGAAGTGGTGTATATATATATATATATATATATATATATTTCCTCAAAATTGTAGATCATGATACAATGATAGTACATGAATAATACATTATTTACAAAATGACAACAATCGTAACATTTATACAAGTTCACAAACGTATATACATATTATTAAATATCAGTGATATAATACTGGTTTATGTAGCCAGTAAAAAAAATTAAAAAAAAAATAATAATATTAATTATACCTTGCCTATGTTCGATTTTTTTTTTTACATTTTCCTTATATTAAAAGGCAAGTATTTGTATAATAATTATTATTACGTATATAAGTCAAACATTCTTTTTATCGCATATATGGATTCTAGTCTAAATTCTTCTAAATCAATTTCATTTAAATTATAGGTCATTGGGCCTCCTAGTACAATGTGAATAACTGAATAGTCAGGCAGTGAATGCAGATATGAACTGAGTTCAATACTTGAAATGCAGGCAATTATACACCATAAATTGTCACGAAGACTTTTTGTTACAGAACAATGCAGAATCACATGAGATACAAGATCTGTGTAGAAATAGCCAAAATGATGACATAAAAGTTGTATGTTACTTACAAGTATCGATACAATCAATTTCATTATATATCCGATATTGTCAAGAAAAAATTTGGGTGACGCAAGGCTAATTCCCATAAATTATGAGGTTTTAGACATTCATGTAGCAATAAAAATCGTGTAAAGTCTGTGTCATTAGACATTATTTGCATCCATGTATTAGTTTCATAATTTGTTACGGATTTATAAATCAATGACTTCCAATACATTTTATTTGGAAAAACACCATCATCTAGAAATTGTATAATGTATTCATAAAGATGATACTTCTTTAGTAATCTGACAATGTCTGATATATAACCTTTTTGACTATAATTATTAACTGTATACATAAAATACCTCAAAATGAATACTCTGCAGATTAAGTTACTTCTTTTCATTCTGCTGATCCTGCCTAAAAACAAAAGCTTTTTGATATCGATATACGCCTCTATAGAAACCATTCCATTAAAGAAGTACACATATCAGTTCTTGTTCTTTTTCCGAAAAATTGGATTGACTTAACAATAAAATGTTGGGCTCTCTCTAACATCAATAACTCGTATTTGAAAGTACCCAGAGTTCACAACCGTAAAGCGCAGACGGAAAGACTTTTACAATTTTTACAATTTTAGCAACAGTTAATGGGTTTAGTGCGCATTGATGTGCCCCAGAACGTAAACGGGCCATAATACCACTTTTTATTTTTTTACACGCTTGTTTTGTTCTTTCAATGGAATTGTGCTTAGCATTCAATAAGATACCTCCATGAGTAATTTCTGAAACGACAGGCAATATATTATCATAAAGACGTACAGTACAGTTAATGTTTATGATTCTTTTATTTGAAAATACGATTTATTTAGACTTGTAATATTTGTACTAACCAAACATATATCGTCTGCTTGAGTTGGAACATTTACAGTTTTATCGATTATCACTGCGCCCGCAGTTTTCAACTTCATTCAACAAGTCATTAATAAAAACTAAGTACATTTTGGTTGAGAGAGCCCCGCCTTGTAAGATACCTCGCTCCATCTTTATTGGTGCGGAGGTTAAACCATTAAAAATTATAGAACTGCGTATATTCGTGTACATATAATTTAAAATATTCCACACTTTACCAGTAAGGCCAATATCATACAATTTTACTAGTAGACCGTCGTGCCAAACGGTATCAAACGCCTTAGCGCTATCTAAAAACGACACATATACACCTGAACCATTTTCCATATTACAATATGCATATTCCTGCAAATTAAACGCAGTACAAAGACTACATAGATTCTTCTGATATTCTGACTGTTGCTTGTTTGGGAATATGTCAGACTCTATTATATTGTTAATTCTCTTTGCAATAGCCATTTCAAACATTTAAAAAAAATACTGGCAAGAGGATTATTCCCCTATAACTGTTAGGATCATCTTTCGGCTTTCCGTGACCTTTATATAGAGTTACTATAATTCCCTGTTTCCAGTTTCTAGGAATATATTCTTGTTTAACAACAAGATTGAATAAATTCCGATATGGTAAATTACAGAGTTTTCTGTATATTTAATATGTGCATATACCAGACCTTCATGTCCGCCTGCTTTATTTGACTTCAGGTTTTTACAAATTAGATTGATTTCACTAGAAGTAAAAATATCATATAAAAACAAGTCTTCATCAGAATGAAATCATTTTGATTCTGTTATCAACCTCGTCGCGAAAATGACAGTCAAATTCTTTAGCATCGTGTTTTTTTAAATATATTTTGAAAGTGTAGAGACCAACCTTTTATAATATCATGGGGATCTCTGAAAAGTTTCCCTTCATATTTCAGCTCAGTTTGTTTCACCTTCGAGGCTGATTTGTTCCTTTTGAAAAGCTGCCAGAGAAGGTTCTGGTCAAGTTCGCCCGATCTATCAATTTCAGCAAATTGGCTTTTCATATAGGATTTAAATGATTTCCTGAGTTGACGTCGAAATTCTTTTTTACAGTTTTTATATTCAGAAAATGTTCGACAATATCGTCTACGCTTTCCGGATCGTATCCACGCATATCATTATGAAGCGTTGTTAGACTTTCATCCCAGTAAGGTTTTTGATAATTTCTGTATACATTTTTGGGTATACACTTATCTGCTGCTTCAAGCAAAGCCGAACATATGTTGCTATAGTAACAATCTATATCTTGGAAGGATGGATTTTTCATTAGGTACTGTGATACAATCCAGTAAACGTGTTACATAACATTTATAATTATATATTGAACCGTCATTCAACGCTTTTTTCCACTTATATCTGTTACAATGTAATGTACTATCCGTAAAATATTTGGGTATACGTACTGAACATTTGCATTGTCGTCTAAAACTTTACAGTACAAGGCAAGATCTGTGGAATTTGACTCAATGAGTATATGATCAATTGCAGTTGAATTATTCGATGCGGGGTAAAATGTACATA